ATTTGCTGCTGATGTGATTTTTGAGTCGACTCAAAAGTCACCTTGGATGGTGGGTCGCTGTTTGAGCAACTTACTACCTCTTTGGCCCAATGATTTGCTGCTGAGTTTTCCACTCTTTTTTATTACCCTTCGCTGTGTTAAAATCAGGTCTTTGCATGGAAATAACCTGAATGGCTCAATACCAGCTACATTCGGCAACCTTCCAAATCTGCAAGACTTGTAAGCTTTTGAAGTTGACTGGTTGGATTCAACGAGTCCTATGTTGTTCCTTAGGTTTATTTTACTACTTTGCGCTCACTACGTGCGTGTTCTCCATTCTCCTCTCCTCAGACGCCTGGACTCCAACAACTTGGATGGCACAATCCCTGACTCCATTTTCGGTCTCACAAATCTTGCCAACTTGTGAGTGCAGCTTCTCATTGCTTTTCATGCAAGTCAGACATAGCCATACCCCACAGTTGCCGCGTGACAAGCACACACTTTACATTGACGTGCAATTTGTGGGCCAATGTTCTAAAGTTAATGATTCCTTATTTCCCTCAATTCGTTGTGAGGAAGGCTGACATTGGTTTTGATGAGTAAGCTGGTCATACTCGAACATTTGTAGGAATGTGCCCTCTGCCACACCCATCTCTTCCGTGCTCCTACACATCCAGTCTATTCATTTTTGTCATTCTTCACATAAGTTCTGTATCAATCTTCGGATCCATAAGTTCTCTCCCTTTTACTACTCCTTTGTAAACAAAGTGCAGAAATTTTCATGCAAACAAACTATCTGGTTCAGTAGCCACATCAATTGGCAGCCTTTGGAAATTGACGGCCTTGTGAGCCTCTCAACTAGATGGGTCCGGTGACTCTCTTTCATTGGTAATTGTTCAACCCTAAAATCGCTTGGTGCTTAGGACTCGTCTAGGAGGGGCAAGCCAGTCACGGTGCCATATGGCGAGCCTGCCAGCCTACGAGCCTCCCTGGCTTGCAGAACTGTGTGTGACCCATATCAACCATTTCACCTGCCTAATCTTCGCTGATGGGCACTTTGCTTGCCACCAGGCTCGCTCATCGCTGGCAAACTGTGAAGGCAAAATGCCCATTTATTAGCCACAGCTCCGGGGCTTTTCAGTGAGCCAAGCCAGGCCCTTCGTTTTCCCACAGTGGATCGATGGATTTGAGAATATTTTTGACTGTAAAGAACAGCGGAGGATTTCCTAATGCTTTTTTACATTACCATATTCTACGGTCAAAATCTAAGAAACGAAAAGAAAAAAAACTAAACAAAAGGACATTCTTTTCCACCTTGGATGCAAGAACGAAGCAAACTTAAGCACTATTCAAGGTAAAAAGGATGATTTTCACCATGTAACCTCATGTCGTATGCGTGCAAGCAAAATGGTCCCCTTTATCCATCTCATGGGCGTGTGGGCCCTCCATTGTTCCCCTATCATCAACCATACAGGGTCCTTGCCCTCAACAGCCTAACAGGCACCATTCCTGACTCCATTGGGGATCTTACAAACCTATGTCGCTTGTGAGTGCTTTTCTTCTTGGTCTGAAGAGTTCTGCATGAACAGTGGACTTGAATTGGAGTTTGGAAAAGAGCCATTAAACAGTGTAATGAGTAGTTGGCACACAAGAGTGAAGGATGAATAATTTGGGTTGACTGGGTTCCACTGGACACAGTAGTAGAGCCATGGTTGGTTTGAGCTGAACCGAGGCAAGTGGTTTGGCTGCTCGATTCGGCTGGCTCGGTCCGAGACAAGCCCGGTTTGGCTCGACTCAGGCCCATCCAGGCTCGACTCAGGCCCATCCAGCCTCGACTTGGCTCATCCAGGCTCGACCCAAGATGGCTCAGCTTAATACCTTGCCCAGACCTATTTTCACTTTATTTTTCCTTCCAAACAATCGGTGGGTTGCAATCTTGACCCCCTCTTGCAAATCATGCTCACATCGAACACATGTGGCAAGCCCAAGAAAATGGATGTGCAGTAACATCATAGCACTTTCTGATTTTCTGATTAAAAATTAGGGCTGTTGTTGTGCCTGAAGCATTCATGTCAATGTCTGAGAGTTCTTCTGACTGAAAACCACTCGGTACCTGTTCCGTCCTGCCTCTTGACAGTTATAATCAATCAAAGGTTTCCCCTTGATGCTTGCTTGCTAACTCCTGGATTGGTAGTTATCTTCATTTGAGAATGCAGATTTGTGTGGAGCACCAACCTAACTGGCCCAATACCAACAACCATTGGCAACCTTCAAAGTTCGACCTCACTGTGAGTTTCTCGACCATCTGGGTTAGATGAGTCCTACATCAGGCTCACATTCTCTTCATTCTAACACTTACTTAGACTGCCCAGCATGTACAGCGGAATGCAAGAAGTGTAAATACTTCTCCCCCTGCTCCCGTCAGTGTGAATATTTTTCATCAAGCTGGTTTCAAAGTTATTTTGTATATCGTGGTTAGCCAGCTCTGCCGGTTAATACAGATAATTGAAACAACAGGAGATACGTAAGAGATAAGCAATAAGAATGTTGGAACCGCTTCCTACTTATCTATACCCTACCCAGTGATACTTGCATTCAGCATGATATTTGCATGCCCTCCCTACGCATCCCTCTCATCTCGTCAGGTACCTTGTCTACAACAAATTAAGCGGCACAATCCCTGACTCCATCAGCAATCTCAAAGGCCTTTCTGCCTTGTTAGTGGTGTTCCCTGCTAGTGATTGGGTGTACATATGATGGGTCGCAGCCATACCTTCCAGCTGTGCACTTTGATTGAGCCATGCATTGCAAACTCGTGTGGGAGCCATAGCCACAGCTTGCAAGGTGGTTCTTGCCGAGTCCCTCCTTGCTCCCATCCACACCACTAGTTATGTTGTTTACAATACAGCTGATAGAGAGTTTTCTTTATGCTCACAAGACTCTGTTTTGTCCTTGACTCCCCTACTTTCGAGATGCAGGTGGCTTCTTGGAAACAAGCTGACGGGCTCCATACCAGAAACGTTAACCAGCCTTCTTCTTATGACTGACTTGTGAGTTATTTGATCAGAATACTACTATGTTACCCTTACAACATTTTTTAGGCTTTCATTAATCAAATAGACAAGACAAGAATCAAATGTCTGATTTTTTTATGTTTGTAACGTAATTTTTCACTATAGAATCTGGTCAATCTGGTCACCCCCTGTATCCACACGGCGTTTGCCCCCCTGCAATGTTCTCCCATCATTACCCATATCAGGAACCTTGCTGACAACAGCTTAACAGGCACCATCCCTGACTCCATCGGCAACCTTACAAATCTTTGTCACTTGTGAGTGCTTTTCTTTCTGGCCTAGAGAGTTTTGCAAGACCAGTAGACTCCAGTCAAAACTGTGGAAACTATTACTTCAAAAGTTTAGGGTACAAAGTCAAACGTCTAAACATGTTTACATGATGGAGCTTCGGTGCCCAAACATCTTAACATTATGAGACGGGGCTAGATAGGGTGGACATTTGTTGGCTTCAAGAAGCTGGAGTGCAAATAAGCAAGGGTGGGGGCGGCACAGACCTCCATGCCGATAGCTTTTCTCCGAGGGGGTTTCCGCTTTCAATAGATTACTTGGAATGGAGTGGTTTGAGTGGTTATTCCGTATTAACCATCTCGGCTGCCTAATGCTTCAAAATCCGTCTCAACAGCGTTGTCCATTGTGAAAAGCTGTTTCCGGCAAGGGTTGCTGAAGAGCTGACGCTTGCTGGGATTTATTGCTGTACTCAGTTGCTATTAGGAACTAAGTCACTGGTGCTTCTTATCCGCATACATACAGGTCAATCTGTTAACCTCCTGTGCTGAGAAATCTCTTGGTGCAGGGATGTATCAAAAACCAATCTTACAGGACAGCTTCCCCCAACATTGAACAAGCTTTCTAAGCTTGAAACCATGTAAGAAGCGCATCTGCTTTCTCCCTGAAATGCTGCAAACCATGCGTGCAAAGCTTGTCTGCAAGCATCAACACATGCGTGGACTACCAAGCCTGGTGCAAAGCGTGTCCATGCGTGCAAAGCTCGTCTGCAAGCACCATCACACACATGGTCTTCTGTTACTGTTTGCTTCGAAACGCTACTCCAAGCTTTCACATCAATAAATTGACCTGTAAACAACTGACTCTTCCTCTTGCAAATGCAGGGATTTCGATGAGAACAAAGTCACATGCCCAGCTAACTACACTCCATGTGTGGTTCAGCAGGATTCTCAAAGCGTTTTCTGCCTCACGTGCCCCTCCTTCTGCACCACATGTGGACAGTCAGCACCACGTGAGCCAAAAACAGATCCTGAGGCTTTCTTTGTCGTCTCCCAAACATCAGAATTCTGTGAAATGGATTTTCGGCATTAAGTGACCATCAGGCATGAGCAAAAATCCAAGCTTAGGGCTCCGCTTGGCAGCGAGCCAAGTTCAAGTTCGCCTTTTACTCATGCCTTGACCTATGCGCCCCGCCCCTACTTATGCACCACATCATCACTCATTGAGCACATCATTACTCTTGCACCACGTCATTACTTATTCACCACATCATTACTCTTGTACCACGGCATTACTTATTCACCACATCATTACTCTTGTACCACATCATTACTTATTCACCACATCATTACTCTTGTACCACGTCATTACTTATTCACCACATCATTACTCTTGTACCACGTCATTACTTATTCACCACATCATTACTCTTTCACCACATGTGTCAATGCAATACCACGTGAATCAACTTCTACTTTCCAAGCTATGTATATCCTTTTTCTCCTCTCTCTCTCTCTCTCTCTCTCTCTCTCTCTCTCTCTCTCTCTCTCTCTCTCTCTCTCTCTCTCTCTCTCCCTCCTTTCCCTGTTTTTCTCTCTGTACCCACATCAGCAGTGAGGCTGTGCTCTTGTTCGTACTTACCATTCATTCCAACACACGTTTCAACCTCACAATTTTGCCATGCACCACCTCCCATTGCACTGCAGCCCATCCTTTTCCATCTCATCCCTGTCCACCCCTCACAATCCACACTACAGGACCGCCCTCCCCATCTCCAGCGCCCGCCTCCTTACCTCCAGCGCCCGCCTCCCTACCTCCAGCGCCCCCTTCCCTACCTCCTGAGCCCTCTGAAATTCCAGCGCCCCCCTCACTGCCTCCAGCCCCCCCTGCCCTACCTTCATCACCCCCTTCCCTACCTTCAGCACCCCCCTCCCTACCTTCATCACCCCCCTCCCTACCTCCAGCACCCCCCTCCCTACCTTCAACACCCCCCTCCCTACCTCCAGAGCCCCCCGCAAAGTCCCCATCCTCCTCCTCAGCAACCCCGTTCTTGCCTGAAGCTTTACCCGACCTCCAGAGCCCCCCACAACAGCCCCAGTCTGGAGGCGGTTTCTCTCTGGGAGCGATTGCTGGCGTTGCTGTGGGTGCTGTGATGCTGCTGATCGTTGGCGTGCTGCTGTGGTGGTGGAGAGGCCATAAGAAACGAGCGGCACATGGAGCAGGTATCTTAAAGATTGTAAAGAAGACTAAAATTCAGGAAACTTGTTTCTTCTTCCTCCATCTGATGCTCCCCCTCCTTAAGTAAGCGGCGCACTAGGCTTCTTGTTTTGGGTAATGAGAAAAACGGAAAACGGAAAAGCAATCGAAGTGCTTTGCAGAAAGTCTTGGGAATGTTATGCAGTACTTCAGGCATTTCAATAACCGGCTAGTGATCCTTTCACCTTTGTTCTATTCTAGGTCTAGCAGACTGCTGAGATTTGAAAACAAAATTAAGTTCTAATCATTTTACCACAGTATCGCCCCACTATTGACCGCTGATGCAAAATGTGGAGATTTACTTACTCGTAAGTTATGTGACACACTATCGCCCCACCAGTCACCTCATGTGAACACGCAGAACTACATGCCACAAAGGAAGATCCAGAGGAAGCAGCAGCGGCGGCGGCAGCGATAGCAGCAGCACCAGCACCATCAGCAATGGGGCCCCAGAATGCAGACGTGGTGGTGGAAATGGGATGGGAAACGGGGAAGGATGCAGCACGGCCGCACTTGTGCCAGGAGTATTCCCTTCAGGAGCTTGAAAGGGCAACGGCAGACTGGGCCGAGGAGAACAGGATTGGCAGCGGCAGCTTTGGCGATGTGTACAAGGGCGTGTCTCCACACAGCTGCTCCCAAGTGTGGGCGGTGAAGCGAGCGCGAGTTCTCACCAACGACTTCCAGACAGAGGTATGAGCTTAGATCAACACCATGACTGAGGTATGAGTTTCAACACTATTAGCGAGCGTGGATGACTCACTTCCACCAGGAGCGATGTTCTCAACATCATGAGCCAATTTTCATGTATCTACGTTCAGTACCTTTTCCAGCCTTGATGCTCAATAATTCTTCTTCTGCTCCCACTCCCTCTGTTATGCCCTCGCCCTGCCACCCCTCTCCCCACCCCCTCCCCTTCCCCCCCTTCCCCCATCGCCCTCCCCTTCCTTCCCACATAAAGGAGATGAGTAAAAAGCACCATAATTATCGAAATGGACAACCGGCACCACCATTAACGAAATGGACAACTGGGCTCTTGACAGCCCCCACTCTCTCTCTGGTGCCCTTCCATGTCCCCCACTCTCTGCTCCATTCCCCCACCTAACCCGCTTCCCCCTTCCCTCGTCGCTCTCCCTTCCCTCCCAGGTGAGGGAGATGGCAAGCAAGCACCACCCGCATCTCGTGCGGCTGCTGGGCTATTGCATTGACTTCAACCCATCCACACGCCACATCGAGCAGATCTTGGTCTATGAGTACATGCACAATCACGACCTTGAAAGCTGGATCGGCCCGGGTGCCTCCCAGCCTCTGTCCCTGAGAGGCAACGGCTGGATGTGCTGATTGGAGTGGCCAAGGGGCTGCAGTATCTGCATGACTTTGGGATCGTGCATCGCGACATCAAGCCCGCCAACATTCTCCTCGATGCAAGAATGCAGGCATGCTTTTCCTCTTTTGTTCATGTTGCAGAGAAATCAGTCAAATTGTTCTGACCAACTTTTTGCATGTGGTGCAACGTTTTGCCTCTTTCATATGCTTCAAGGAGTCGTGCCATCACAGCCCAAGTTTGATGCTTCAGTTTTCTTTGTGATTCTGCTCATGCATTTCTGATTTGAGAATCGGGTTTGCTCATGCATTTTAGAATCGGATTCGCTCATGCATTTCTGATTTGAGAATGGGATTTGCTCATGCGTTTCTGATTTGAGAATGGCATCGCTCGTGCATTTCTGATTTGAGAATGGGATTCGCTCATGCATTTCTGATTTGAGAATGGTATTCGCTCATGCATTTCTGATTTGAGAAACGGATTCGCTCATGCATTTCTGATTTGAGAATCGGATTCGCTCATGCATTTCTAATTTGAGAATGGGATTCGCTCATGCATTTCTGATTTGAGAATCGGGTTTGCTCATGCATTTTAGAATCGGATTCGCTCATGCATTTCTGATTTGAGAATGGGATTTGCTCATGCGTTTCTGATTTGAGAATGGCATCGCTCGTGCATTTCTGATTTGAGAATGGGATTCGCTCATGCATTTCTGATTTGAGAATGGGATTTGCTCATGCATTTCTGACTTGAGAATGGGATTCGCTCATGCATTTCTGATTTGAGAAACGGATTCGCTCATGCATTTCTGATTTGAGAATCGGATTCGCTCATGCATTTCTAATTTGAGAATGGGATTCGCTCATGCATTTCTGATTTGAGAATCGGATTCGCTCATGCATTTCTAATTTGAGAATGGGATTCGCTCATGCATTACTGATTTGGAAATCCGTTTTCTCTTGCAATTGTGATTTGAGAATCGGATTTGCTCGTGCATTTCTGGTTTTTAACCAATCTTTGCTTGTACAGGCCAAGATAGCGGACTTTGGGCTGGTGAAGCTGAGTGGAGGCACCTCTATGGGCACCTCTGTGGCCGCCACTCGAGTGATGGGCACACCGGGCTATGTGGACCCCGCTTACTTCAAGACACACAAGGCCACACCAGCAGCGGACGTGCACAGGTAAAGTGCGGTGTTGAGTTGTGTAAGCCGCTGTTTCCATACATGTTGGAGTGATGGGCACACTGGGCTATGTGGACCCCGCCTAATACATTACACACAAGGTCACACCAAAAGCAGACGTGCACAGGTTTGTGGTGAACAAGGTGTTGGGTGGAAGAATGCACAAGTGAGGAGGCTAGATGGAAGGCCTTGTGCTGTTTGCCATTGCATGTGGTGTGATCTTTCTCTCATTCTCTTTGCCATGTCACGTAGTGTTTTCTGGTGCTCATGCAAGCAACTGCAATTTTCTGGTGCTCACGCTCTTCTGTGGGCAGCTTTGGGGTGGTGATGCTGGTGGTGATCACGGCACGCAAGGCCGTTCACATGGCAGGCGACATTCAGATCAACCTCAAGCAGTGGGTGAGGCTAAGCTTTGAGGCGCCTACAAGAAGGCTGTTTGTTGAGGCGCCCAAAAATAGGCTGACTTCTGAGGCGCTTAAATATGAGGTAGAGTTTCTAGGCACCCACAAAAAGGCATATCTTCGAGGCGCCGAAAAAAAGGCAGATTTCTTAGGTGGCCCCACGCCACTCTCACCTCATGATAGACATAATTCAGATCAACCTCAAGTAATGGGTGAGGCTTGACCTACGGATATAAACATGGGACCACCCAACCCAACAATTGCAGGGGCTCTTATCGCGTTTTGACCCATATGAAAACGTAACTTGCCAGCCCAACACATGCCGTGGTTTATTCTTGCATCTCTGGCATGTCTTAAATTCACCCTTGCCATAGTGCGATCGATTCTCACCGGGTCTCCATCCTTCCAAACCTCCCTGCTGGTGGCTCTCCTGGTGGCATTCGGTGCTGTAGCATGCATGCTTCAAGGACCCTCACATGGATGCTCACCATAACTGTAGCTAGCAAGATTCTTACCGAATCTCCACCCTTGCAGCCCTGCTTGCAGGTGGCTCCATTCGTGGCATTTGACAACATGGCGTCATTCAAGGACCTTAACTTCACTTGGATGCTCCGGATGACTTAATCCTGTGCTTGGCTCGCCTCGCCCTCACCTGCAATGCCATGCCCACGGCCTCCACTCTTCCCACCCTGCATGCAGGTGGCTCCTCTGGTAGAACCTGGGCGCTCCAGATGACTAGGTGCTGTGCCTGGCCGAATGCTCACCAGGCTTCCTTTTTACAACCAACCCTGCATGCAGGTGGCTCCCCTGGTGGCATCTGGTGATGTGGCAGCATTCAAGGACCCTCACTTGGATGCTCCAGATGACTTGCTGCTGCGCCTGGCTCGCCTCGCCCTCACCTGCACGGCCATGCCCACTGCCTCCCGCCCCACCATGGGCCGCGTGTTGGGCGATCTGCTGAACATGAAGGAGGAGGTGCTTGGGGGGGCTGAGGCGCACAGGGCTGCATGCCGCATTGACAGAGAGATCGGCAGCTCAGCGGCTCACACGGTGGACTTTGATGCCCAGCTGGCTCGTGTGGAGCAGATGGGAACTCAGGGCCGTTCATCTAGTGATGCATGATGTGTTGTAGGTGTGAGTGCTGCACCACCCATTTTCACACACACACACACACACACACACACTCACACACACTCACACACACACACTCACACACACACACACACACACACACACATACACAGGGTTGCCATTGTTGGGGGACGTAGTGGGAGCTAGGACGGTTGGGATCAAAGGCAAAGAATGAAAGGCATAGCTATTTTATCCACTTTAATTTAAAGCCCAGCCCCCGAATTGCAAAGAGGCTTTCACAATGACGCCGGTTTGTGTCTCGCTCTTACTGGTTTCGGGAAAGAAACGTTTATGGGAGGTTTTCGAACCTCAGATCTCTGCTTTCCCAAACCTGGTTTCCTGCGTTGACTTCCGTTGAGTAATTCGAGTGTTGCACTTTAAGAGAGAAAGCCTGTTACCTTCACAACAAACTCTTCTTATAGTCAAATCACAATCTATGAACTTTTCGAAGTGAACACTATTTTTCCTTTATTTGGTGTAGGTAGTTGGTGATTTATGAGTGTCAATATTCTCAGTGAAAAACAACTTGGTGCATTGCATCCTCTTGGTGCAAATTAACCTCACTAACCTGGATCTTACCGTAATTTCTTATGACTGCCTTATATTGATCCTGATGTATACAGACATCAATGGTTACGTATGACAACAATAAGGAACTGTGATCTTACTCATTAGCGCATGCATCAGCAAATGAATGGTTCTCCGGGTCCATCTGCTGAATTCCCAACTGTTCCACACGAGCCAGCTGAGCATCTAAGTCAACAATGTGAGCCTCTGAGCTGCCAATCTCCCTGCCAATACTGCATGTAGCTCTGTGCATATCATTCATGCATTACTAGACGAGCTACTCCGTTGGCCCATCTGCTCCACAATAGCCAGCTGGGCATTAAAGTCCACCGTGTGGACTGCTGAGCTGCCAATCTCCCCGTCAATCTAACATGCAGTTCCGTGTGCCTGCGCCCCCCAAGAACCCTTTCCTTCATGCCCGTCTGCTGCACACGAGCCAGCTGACCACCAAAGGTTCGCACCCACAACAAATCATGCATTTCTAGATGAAGCGCTCTGCACTCCCATCTGTTCTATTCCGGCCAGCTGGGCATCAAAGTCCACCGTGTGAGCTGCTGAGCTGCCAATTTCCCTGTCAATGCGGCATGCAGCTCTGTGCTTCCCAGCCAGCACACAGCTCTGTGCCAGTCATGCATCACCCGACAAATTGCTATGCGCTCCCATCTGTTCTATTCCGGCCAGCTGGGCATCAAAGTCCACCGTGTGAGCCGCTGAGCTGCCAATCTCCCTGTCAATGCGGCATGCAGCTCTGTACGCCTCAGCACCCCCAAGCACCTCCTCCTTCATGCCCAGCAGATCGCCCAACACGCGGGCCATGGTGGGGCGGGAGGCCGTGGGCATGGCCGTGCAGGTGAGGGCGAGGCGAGCCAGGCGCAGCAGCAAGTCATCTGGAGCGTCCAAGTGAGGGTCCTTGAATGCTGCTACGTCTCCAGATGCCACCAATGGAGCCACCTGCATGCAGGTTTGGTTAGAAGGATAGAGGCCTGGTGAGAATTCGGACAGGCGCAGCAGCAAGTCATCTGGAGCATCCAAGAGAGGGTACTCGAATGATGCCACTCCGCCAGATTCCACCAGAGGAGCCACCTGTGGGGTTGGGGTGGGAGGCCGTGGGCATGGCCGGGCAGGTGAGGGCGAGGCGAGCCATGCACAGCAGCTAGTAGTCTGGAGCAGTGAGGGTCCTTGATATTGCCACGTCACCGGTTGCCACCAGAGGGGTCACCTGCCAGCAGGGTTGGTTAAAAGAGTGGAGAAGGGCGAGGCATGGTGCATATTCCTTTATAGTCTAAGAGTTGAGCTTCACTGATTGCCCGAGGTTGATTTGAATGTCTTCTGCCATGTGAACGGTCACCTTTTAGGCACCTAAAGATTTAGCCATTCTTGATGTGGATAAGGATTCAGCCTGGCGTCTAATAGTGCTGAGCCTCACCCATTGCTTGAGGTTGGATTGAACATCGTCTGCCATGTGAACTGCCTTGCGTGCCGTTATGACCACCAGCATCACCACCCCAAAGCTGCCCACAGAAGAGCGCGAGCAATAGAAAATGCCACATGCAATGGGAAGGAGCGTGAGCAGCAGAAAACGCGATATGCAATGGGAAAGGTTGTGAGCAACAGAAAATTTGACATGCAATGGAAAAGGTTGTGAGCAATAGAAAACACCACAGGCAATGCAAAGAGCATGAGAGATTTTTCCTACCCTAGTACCATTTTCAACACCCACCTGTGCACGTCTGCTGCTGGTGTGGCCTTGTGTGTCTTGTAGTAAGCAGGGTCAACATAGCCCGGTGTGCCCATCACTCGAGTGGCGGCCACAGAGGTGCCCATGGAGGTGCCTCCACTCAGCTTCACCAGCCCAAAGTCCGCTATCTTGGCCTGGTGCACAATCAAGTATGAGCACGGAGAATATTGTAGTGCACAGATTTTTTAAGCGCCTCACAAAGATGCGCACAGAGGATGTTGAACTGGTGCAAATGGGCTCGGTGCGATACACGAAAGGGGCATCACTTTTTGCATCGGATGCAACAAGTTGACTGATTTCTGTGCAACATAGGTAGATGAGCAAACACATACCTGCATTCTTGCATCAAGAAGGATGTTGGCGGGCTTGATGTCGCGATGCACGATGCCAAAGTCATGCCAATACTGCAGCCCCTCTCATGCACCTCTATCTACCGTCCCACTTTCATCTACCAACACCGGCTCACATTCATCTTGTCATCCAGGAGAATGTTGGCAGGCTTGATGTCGCGATGCACGATGCCAAAGTCATGCAGATACTGCAACCCCTTAGCCACTCCAATCAGAACGTCCAGCCGTTGCCGCAGGGAGAGAGGGTGGGAGGCACCCAGGCCGATCCAGCTCTCGAGGTCATGGTTGTGCATGTACTCATAGACCAAGATCTGCTCTATGTGGCGCGTGGATGGGTTGAAGTCGATGCAGTAGCCCAGCAGCCGGACCAGGTGCGGGTGGTGCTTCGATGCCATCTCCCTCACCTGGCGAAGATGAAGGGAGGGGTGTGGGGCATGACAGAGGGAGTGGGAGCAGAAGATGAAAATTTGAGTACCAAGGATTGAATAGACACACAGTGAGCAGAGATCCTGGGAGGAGGTACGATGCCAAAGTCATGCAGATACTGCAACCCCTTAGCCACTCCAATCAGAACGTCCAGCCGTTGCCGCAGGGAGAGAGGGTGGGAGGCACCCAGAGATCCTGGGAGGAGGTACATGCAAAAAACTCATGGTGTTGTTTGAAGCTCTTACTTCAGTCTGGAAATCGTTGGTGAGCGTTCTCGCTCGCCTGACCGTCCACACTTGAGAGCCGCTCTGCGGCGACACCCCCGTTTACACATCGCCATGCTGTTAAGCTTATTGGGGAGTCCTCTCACTCATGGTCATTGATTGAAGCTCACACCTCGGTAAGGAAGTCGTTGCTGAGTACTCTCGCCCGCTTGACGGCCCACATTTGACTGCCGCTCTGCGGAGACACGCCCTTGTACACATCGCCAAAGCTGCCGCTGCCAATCCTGTTCTCCTCTGCCCACTTCCCAGTTGCCCTTTCAAGCTCTTCCAATGGGTACTCCTGGCAGACATGCGGTCGTGCTGCATTCTTCTCCATTTCTAAACCCATTTCCACCACCACGTCTTTATCCTGGACCACCATTGCTGCTGCTGGTGCGGGTGGTAGTGGTGCTGCAGCAGCTACTGCTGCCATTGCTGCCGCTTCTTCCTCTGGATCTTCCTTCATGCCATGTCCTTCTGTGTGCTCACATGAGGTGACTGGTGGGGCAATAGAGTGTGTCACATACTTTATGAGTAAGTAAATTTTCACGTTTCGCATCAGGAGTCACATAACTTAAGGATTAGTGGGCCAATACCGTGTCTTATGATTTACAGATTTTTTTTTTTTTTTTTTCACATCTCAAAGCCGCACTTTCCTGCGTTTCATCTAAATGGACTGCTACACCTACAATAGAACAGAGACGAGAGTTTCACTGAACGAGCAGATACGCAAGCTCTCCCTTGTGTGCTCCGTATTTGCACGAATGGGCGGAGATGTCAGGATTAACCATGGACGGGATTAAGAGAAGCATGGACGGAAGAAAAGCATCGGATGGAGGAAGAAGAGGCAAGAGTCCTCTTTATAATATTTACAATACCTGCTCCATGTGCCGCTCGTTTCTTCTGGATTCTCCACCACAGCAGCACGCCAATGATCAGCAGCATCACTGCACCCACAGCAATGCCGGCAATGACTCCCACAGAGAGACCGCCTCCTGACTGGGGCTGTTGTGGCGGGCTCTGGAAGTCGGTAAAAGCTTCAGGCGAGAGAGGGGGTGCGGAGGAGGAGGATGGGGCCGTTGTGGAAGGCGCTGAAGGCATGGCCCAGGGCTCAGTAGGTAGGGAGGGGGGTGCTGAAGGCATGGCCCAGGGCTCAGTAGGTAGGGAGGGGGGTGCTGAAGGCATGGCCCAGGGCTGAGGAGGTAGAGAGGGGGGCGCTGGATATGGGGAGAAGGGTCCTGTAGTGTGGATTGTGAGGGGTGGACAGGGATGAGAACGAAAGGGATGGATGGAGGCATAGAGACAGCATGGGTTGCATTGCAATGGGAGGGTGGTGCATGGCAAAATGGTAACGTTGCAATGTGTGTTGGAATGAACGGTAAGCATGAACGAGAGGGCAGGCATAACGATGAGCTTCAGAATGAGATGTACGCCAGATATGAGAGACGTGGTACGGACAAAGAGTATGTTCATGCAGGGAGCATGGGGATTTTAGCAAAGATGTGCATGCATTGTATGGAAGAACGTCCGTACTACTGATGTCTCAATAAGTACAAGTTAATTCGGTACTACAGTGACACATGTGGTGCAGAAGTAAAGATGTGGTGCATAAGTGATGATGTGGTGAATAAGTGATGATGTCGTGCATAAGTAATGATTTGGTTTGGCGATTAACTATGTGGTGAAAATAATGATGTGATGCATGTAATGACGTGATGCATGTAATGACGTGGTGCATGTAATAACGTGGTGCATGTAATGACGTGGCGCATGTAATAACGTGGTGCATGTAATAACATGGTGCATGTAATGACGGGGCGCATGTAATAACGTGGTGCATGTAATGACGTGGCGCATGTAATAACGTGGTGCATGTAATAACGTGGTGCATGTAATGACGTGGTGCATGTAATGACGTGGTGCATGTAATGACGTGGTGCATGTAATGAAATGGCGCATGTAATAATGTGGTGCATGTAATGACGTGGCGCATGTAATGATGTGCCGCGTAACTAGTAATGTGGTGCATAAGTCTAGGCATGAGCAAAACACGAACTCCAACTCGGCTCGCCGTCAAGCCAAGCCCTAGGCTGACTACTGCTGATGCCTAATGGTCACAGACGCCGAATATCCATTTTACAGAAATCGATGTTCAGGAGATAACAAAGGACGCCTCAGGATCTGTTTTTGGCATGTGAGGCAGAAAACACTTTGAGGATTCTGCTGAACCACACATGGTGTGCTGTCAGGCGGGCATGTGACTTTGGTCTCATTAAGGTTCCTGCATGTACAAGAAGAAGAATCAGTTCTTTACAAGAACAAAATATTGTTGACACAAGCTGGTAATAGGATTTTGGAGTAAACAGCAGCATAAGTCCGTGTGAGTGTGATAATCCTTTGAAGCACTAGCAGATGAGCTTTGCATGCATGGTTTGCAGCACTTCAGGGAGAGAAAGAAATGCGTTTCTTACATGTTTTCAAGCTTGGAAAGATTGCCCAATGCTGGGGGGAGCTGTCCTGTCAGATTGGTTTTGGATACATCTCTGCATGGAGCATTTGTTTTTAAGCATAAAATTACCAAATTGACCTGTCCGTGGATTAGAAGTATCAGAACTTAGTTCTACTTAGGGTTTACTAGTTATGCATTGATTGAGGGTATAAACATAGGAGAGATGCATTGGCCTCGCTTGTGGAGAAGTTTTGATCACCTCGAAACCAGGGCACATAATAATAATTTGGTAGACAGGAGGAAGAATTGAACCAGAATCGAATCAAAGCGGTCAATTAGCCAAACCGAACCGGCCCGGTTCAAGCCGAACCGAAACGCAGTGGGGGGTTAGAGGTTCGCCCAATTTGGTTTACCTTTTCCAGTTTGGTTCAAACTTCTAAGTGTCCGCCTAATGCCCTAATTCTCCAGATTTGTACACCTCTGTCGGTTCGAACTTCGACGCAAACCGAAAAGTCGTCAAACCGACTTGAGAGGTTTGACCTAAAAGTCATTCGATTTGAATCGAATCATGTTTACACACACACACACACACACACACACACACACACACACACACACACACACACACACACACAAAACGAACTGGTTCGAGTCAAACCGAACCAAAGTTCAATACTATGCTCAAGTCTACAGTTGAGTTAACCAGATTTGACCAAAAGGATTTAGGAATCACCCGAATGAAAGTTCATTCAGTGTTTGGCTTACGCTTGACAGTCAAGCTTGAGGAGGCAATAAACTGAACTATCTGCCAAATCTCCTCTTTTCCAATCTCCAAAACAACCATAGCACTCCAAGAAAACACAGCCCATGTCATAGCATAGCCTTATTTGTTATCCTCGTATCTTGTGGTTCAGATGCCATTTCTTGTTGGAGCAGGGTACAGCTGAACCTGCTATACGCATGAGCCATTCTCTGGGCCGAGCCAGTACGAGCACCCCGGTGGACGAACCGATCAGGCAGCTGACATGGCTCATGGCTCATCAGATGGGGAAGCCAGGAGGAGGAGTCGGCCTCGGCTTGGCAATGACTCAGATGGACAGGGCGAGGCGAGGGCGAACTGGAGGAGCCAGGGCGAGTGAAATGCAGCTCGTCAACAAACCACTGCGGCTCGGCTCGTCACTGTCTGCCACATCCGCACAGACCAGTGTAATTCGCGGTCTAGGTTTTAGGGTTAAGATGTTAAGCCCAATACAATATGGTAACGAGTCGTCCTAGATAGGTCTTCATTGTCTGTTTTCTTGCCACAGGCTCTTTTAGAAGACAATTCTAAAATGACAAGTGTGTCTCAAAAGTTTCTCTTGAGTTTCAACAGTAACGATTTGCTTTTCCACGCCCCTTCACTCTCCCCTTTCGCCACATGCTTCACTCTCCCCTTTCGCCACATGCTTCACTCTCCCCTTTCGCCACATGCTTCACTCTCCCCTTTCGCCACATGCTTCACTCCATGCTTCACTCTCCCCTTTCGCCACATGCTTCACTCTCCCCTTTCGCCACATGCTTCACTCTCCCCTTTCGCCACATGCTTCACTCTCCCCTTTCGCCACATGCTTCACTCTCCCCTTTCGCCACATGCTTCACTCTCCCCTTTCGCCACATGCTTCACTCTCCCCTTTCGCCACATGCTTCACTCTCCCCTTTCGCCACATGCTTCACTCTCCCCTTTCGCCACATGCTTCACTCTCCCCTTTCGCCACATGCTTCACTCTCCCCTTTCGCCACATGCTTCACTCTCCCCTTTCGCCACATGCTTCACTCTCCCCTTTCGCCACATGCTTCACTCTCCCCTTTCGCCACATGCTTCACTCTCCCCTTTCGCCACATGCTTCACTCTCCCCTTTCGCCACATGCTTCACTCTCCCCTTTCGCCACATGCTTCACTCTCCCCTTTCGCCACATGCTTCACTCTCCCCTTTCGCCACATGCTTCACTCTCCCCTTTCGCCACATGCTTCACTCTCCCCTTTCGCCACATGCTTCACTCTCCCCTTTCGCCACATGCTTCACTCTCCCCTTTCGCCACATGCTTCACTCTCCCCTTTCGCCACATGCTTCACTCTCCCCTTTCGCCACATGCTTCACTCTCCCCTTTCGCCACATGCTTCACTCTCCCCTTTCGCCACATGCTTCACTCTCCCCTTTCGCCACATGCTTCACTCTCCCCTTTCGCCACATGCTTCACTCTCCCCTTTCGCCACATGCTTCACTCTCCCCTTTCGCCACATGCTTCACTCTCCCCTTTCGCCACATGCTTCACTCTCCCCTTTCGCCACATGCTTCACTCTCCCCTTTCGCCACATGCTTCACTCTCCCCTTTCGCCACATGCTTCACTCTCCCCTTTCGCCACATGCTTCACTCTCCCCTTTCGCCACATGCTTCACTCTCCCCTTTCGCCACATGCTTCACTCTCCCCTTTCGCCACATGCTTCACTCTCCCCTTTCGCCACATGCTTCACTCTCCCCTTTCGCCACATGCTTCACTCTCCCCTTTCGCCACATGCTTCACTCTCCCCTTTCGCCACATGCTTCACTCTCCCCTTTCGCCACATGCTTCACTCTCCCCTTTCGCCACATGCTTCACTCTCCCCTTTCGCCACATGCTTCACTCTCCCCTTTCGCCACATGCTTCACTCTCCCCTTTCGCCACATGCTTCACTCTCCCCTTTCGCCACATGCTTCACTCTCCCCTTTCGCCACATGCTTCACTCTCCCCTTTCGCCACATGCTTCACTCTCCCCTTTCGCCACATGCTTCACTCTCCCCTTTCGCCACATGCTTCACTCTCCCCTTTCGCCACATGCTTCACTCTCCCCTTTCGCCACATGCTTCACTCTCCCCTTTCGCCACATGCTTCACTCTCCCCTTTCGCCACATGCTTCACTCTCCCCTTTCGCCACATGCTTCACTCTCCCCTTTCGCCACATGCTTCACTCTCCCCTTTCGCCACATGCTTCACTCTCCCCTTTCGCCACATGCTTCACTCTCCCCTTTCGCCACATGCTTCACTCTCCCCTTTCGCCACATGCTTCACTCTCCCCTTTCGCCACATGCTTCACTCTCCCCTTTCGCCACATGCTTCACTCTCCCCTTTCGCCACATGCTTCACTCTCCCCTTTCGCCACATGCTTCACTCTCCCCTTTCGCCACATGCTTCACTCTCCCCTTTCGCCACATGCTTCACTCTCCCCTTTCGCCACATGCTTCACTCTCCCCTTTCGCCACATGCCTCACTCTCCCCTTTCGCCACATGCTTCACTCTCCCCTTTCGCCACATGCTTCACTCTCCCCTTTCGCCACATGCTTCACTCTCCCCTTTCGCCACATGCTTCACTCTCCCCTTTCGCCACATGCTTCACTCTCCCCTTCGCAAACTCGTCACGTTGTTCCAAGTTGCAGCCATCCACTCCAAGGTATGATCGTGCTGTCCAAACACATCGTCCCCACCAACCGCGCCATTTGTGCAACCTCTCATGCTTGCTACTCGCACATCTTCAGTGTGCCACCTGCTTCTCTCCGCACACCTTCTGCTCATCACCATTTTCCGTTGCCACCTAATTGCCATGGTCTAGTGCCTAGTACTCTGATCGGCCTCCAAGCCAGCTTCACCACTCACAGGCAATTAGTGCTAAGAACTAGGGTTGCTCTTACAAGTCTGAGAGTTGAACCAGGTTGCCAATGGACTCTGGGATGCTGCCAGTCAGGCTGTTGAACGAAACATTCCTGATGAGGGAAAGGAAGAGCATTAAAAGTACATGAAAAGCTGAAGACCCTTCTTAGAGTTAGGTCTGCCAACTTTGGTCTGCATATCGAGGTGAAATGAGTAATGATCGAACCGAGCATTTTACTCTCGGTCCCTGTCAAGTATTCAACTACTCGGTCTCTTCATTCAAGTATCTTTTCACTGTCATCAAGCAATCCATGTTCCCCTCAACTCCCAGGCCCCTCCCTCTCCATCCCTAAATCTTTGCCCGTTCCCCCCCTTCCCGCCCCCATCAGCCACCTATCCCACCATTTACTCCAACTCTTATCACGGCTATCCAAAGGTCTCACAGGTTGGGGGAAACTAGGCTACTAGGGGAAAATGTTAGCAGTGCCCATCCCTCCCCCCCTCCCCCCAAAAAAAGAGTTATGACAGGCATTTGAATGTCGCAACGGTTATAAATAGACATTTTGTAGAGTGTTTACGGAGCCTGAAATGTGCTCCCTTTGGGCAGGCTGTACGATTCTAACTTGTTCGTCCTCGGCAGTGGGGTCGGCGCTCCACTTGTTTGCCCTCTATCTCACTGGCCGAATCTTATGCAGGAACCAGCTGCCCTTGTTTTTTTAGAATTCTCAAAAAAGCTAACTCGGCAGGAACCAGCTGCCCAAAAGGCCCGTTATCTCAAAACGGGCCAAACTCGGTTATCCTCTGCAAATTCCTATTCCTTAGTCTGATAACAAGAGAACTATCCACATCACCAAGGTCCCTATACTCCAACCGCACCAAGTACATTCAGATCCGCCATAAGATACCCTCGTGAGCTCGTGCAGCAGCATATGTTGAGCACATTGTACTTAAGTCCAAATTACTTCCTTTCGAACCCATCAATTACTACCCACGAAAGCAGCACACCCCCCATGCAAGCACCACGGCCCCCATGCAAGCACCACGGCCCCCATGCAAGCACCACGGCCCCCATGCAAGCACCACTACCAAGCATCACTCCCAACATGCATCCACCACTCCCCCAAGGCAAACAGCGACTGACAGCGTTTGCAGATTCGTGAGTGCAGCTAGCCCCGATGGTAGACTGCCAGTGAACCTGTTACTGTCCAGCCGGCTGACACCGCGAGATGAGCAGTGGGAGGAGGGAGTCCAGAGGGGGGAGGGAGAGGAGAGAGAGAGGAGGGAATGAATGTGCAAAGTCATGGGGGTGGCCAATCAAGCAGTAAGACGATTTTTTGGCGCCTCAAAAGACATTTTTTTATGTCACCTCGAAAGACGATTTTTAAGGCGCCTCAAAAAACAAAGTCATGGGGGTGGCCCTTCAAGCAGTGGGCCAAAGGCAGAACTGCAATGCAAGCATGGCTGATGATTCATTTACTGTGTTTGACCAGGTTTCCTACTTCGACGCTCACTTCACTTTGTGAAAGAAACTAGGACCAGTTTCAGCATTGGCGTTGTGAGAAAAAAACTCCGAAATTCAGTACGCACGAATATCATGATGATGAGAGAGGCAGGCTAGGCTGGTCAGGGCAGAATAGGCCAGCATGGAAGGGAGGGCAAGGGTAGTAGGGGCAGTGGTTAGTCACAGAGCAGTGAGTGCGGTCATGTAGGCGATCCATGCAGGAATGCTCCCGGTGAGAGAGTTGTGCCCCAGACTCCTGCAATGGTGCCATGAGGCAGGGACGTGCAGGTGAGTCGTTTGTTTTTTGTCTTCTTTATTTCTCATAACCAAATCGTCTCTTGATTTGTTCTGAGGCCCTTGCAATGGCGCTGTGGGTCACAGTGTTGCACGAGGCGCAGTCTTGGGGAGGAGGTGGGGTGTTGGAGCGTGTGTGGGAGGAGAACGGCGGATGGATGGCGAATTGGGGCTATGGAAAGTGTAGCAGCAAATTGAACAGCACGAGCAGTCTAGAAATGGGAAATTACAAGAAGAAGCGGTTTTCCTGTGGAAGATTGAGCGTTGGGGCAGCGGACAGAAGTTATTGGGAACGAAGCAGGTAGTGGCAAGGCACAGTGGGAGGTGACAGGGCGAGACGAAGCGCTGGGAGGCGAGAGGCAGGTATGGGAGGAAGGGAGGAGGGCAAGGAGGGAAGGGGAGGGGAAGGGGAGGGGGAGGGGGAGGAGGGTAGGGGAGGGGAGGAGAGGCGAGGGGAGGCGAAGGGAGGGAAGAGCAGGAGAGGACAGGAGAACATGGGAGGCGAGGGGAAGGGAGCAGAGGCGAGGCGCTGGGACTGACAAGTCTTGCAATCTGGAGAGAGCGCTCATGGTTTTGGGCAGAGAGCCGCTAAGCACTGTGTCTCCCAGGTCGCTGGGGAGGGCGGGGGAGTTGAGGTGGGGTGTGAGAGTGAGGAGGACGAGTGGGTGGGGGGGATTGATGTTGGGTAGAAGGAAGGGAGGGGTGAGAAGGGTGGGAGAGAAACATGGCTGGTGAGAAAGCAGACGAAGCATGCAGCATATGCACATGGATGCATGCTTGCGCATGTGCGCACGTGCACGCACACAGAAAAAAAAAAAAAATCTCTAATACCCTCACAACAACGTTCTCCTCCTCCATCTTTCTCCACTCACATACCCCCTTTTGGTACTCCCATCGTGCTGCTGCACTCAAGCAGTCCTTGCTGCTGCACTCGTGCCGTGCTTGCTGCTGCACTCACAGCAGAGTGAGGCGTGAGAGGGCGCTGATGCTCTCTGGAATGGACGTGCTCAGATAAGACCCTTGCCAATAGCTGACAATGTTCCTCGGACCCAGGGCAAGAGGGCGTGGGGGAGGGAGGGAGGGAGGGAGGGAGGAGGGAGGGAGGGAGGGAGGGAGGGAGGGAGGGAGGGAGGGAGGGAGGGAGGGAGGGAGGGAGGGAGGGAGGGAGGGAGGGAGGGAGGGAGGGAAGAAGTTGCGGTGGAGAATTCAAAGAAGAAACGGTTGAGGAGGAGGCGAAGGAATGGGGAGCGAAGTGCAGCGGCGGTTTGCAATAAAAAGTGATGCATGGATGATGGGATTTCACCCAGTTGAAGATCGAAGTGATTCGTACAAAGGAGGGAGGGAGGGGGGAGGAGGAGGAGGAGAGAGGGAGGAGGGAGGGAGGAGGGAGGGGGGGAGGGAGGGAGGAGGGAGGGAGGAGGGAAGGAAGGAGGGGGGGAGGAGGGAAGGAAGGAGCGAGGAGGGAAGAAGGAAGGTGGACGAGGGAAGAGGGAAGAAGGAAGGTGGACGAGGGAAGAGGGAAGAAGGAAGGTGGACAAGGGAAGAGGGAAGAGGAAGAGCGAACAGCAAAGAGCTGCACGAGAATGGCAGTGACGGCGTACAGGGCGGTAACCATGCCATCCTGGTCCACTTGTACGGATGTCAGCGGGTCTGCATTCTGACCCAGCTTGAAAATAACGTCCGCTGGAAACACAAACGCGTGATAAGTGGGGAAGGAATGGAAGTGAGATTGAGAGAGAGAGTGAGTGAGTGAGTGCGTGTGTGAGAGAGAAGGCCGGGGATGGAAGAGGGAAGTCGTTCAGATGATAGGAAGTGAGAGAGAGAGAGTGAGTGCGTGCGTGCGTGCGTGTGTGTGTGCGTGCGTGCGTGCGTGCGTGCGTGCGTGCGTGCGTGCGTGCGTGCGTGCGTGCGTGCGTGCGTGTGTGTGTGTGTGTGTGTGTGTGTTGTGTGTGTGGTGGGGGGGGGGGGGGGGGGGGGGGAGAGGGGAGGAGGGGGGGGGGGAGAAGAGAAGGGTGGGGAAAAGAGGGAAGTCATTCAAAAGATAGGTAGTGTGGATGGGAGTGGAGTGCATGCAGTTGTGCGCGTGGATGAGCAATGGCGGAAGAGAGGTGAGACTCTGTCCCCTCCCCTGCCCAACTCTTTCCTCCCTGCGCTCTGTGCTGACACGCCGCTCATGTAATTTATCTCTGCTGAATGGCTGACATTGCTCACCACTCTTGCAGCACCTCCCTCTTTCCCTTTCAATCTCCCTCTCTCCCTCTTTCCCTCTCTCTCGTTCTCCCTCTCTCTTGTTCTCTCCCTCTCTGCCTCCCTGCCTCCCTGCCTCCCTGCTTTCCCCCCTCCGTCCCCCCTTCTTTCCCACCCCCCTTTCTCCCTCCCCCCTCTTTCCCTCCCCCTTTTCCCCCCTCTCCTCCCTCCCCCACTCTCTCCCTCACCCCCTCCCTACCTCCCCCCCTCCCTCCCCCCCTCTCCCTCCCTCCCCTCCTCCCTCCCTCCCCGACTCCCTCCCCCCCCCGCTCCCTCCAACCCTCCCACCCTCCTCCCTCCCTCGCCCCTCCCTCCCTCCCTCTCCATTCTGAGAATGCAACAAGCTATGCGCTCAGAAGACCTTGGGATGGGGGCATAGTTTGCGCGCAGGCGCACATGCCGCAGGCAAGGACGGCGAGAAAAAGCGCAACTAGACCAGCCGACTGTGGCGGTTCGCGCGCTCGTGCCATGGTTATAGCGGACTGGTATACGGAGAAGCGCAGCTAGACCAGCCGGCTGCCGCGGAGGGTCCGGAGACTCCAAAACGGGGATTTTACTCGCGACAGACACAGCAGAGGCGTATCGATTGATAGATCTTGGAGGGAGGAAGGCTCATGCTTTTGGGGAGGGCTTGTGAGAATAGAGAGAGGCAATGGACTGGAAACTGGAATTCGGTGGTACTGTGTGTGAGTGCTTGCTTAGAGCGACGACGTTCGGTGGTGTAATGTCCACTTTCTAAGGAATGCATGCTGAGAGGTAATTGAGAAAGCAAACCCAGGATAAAGAATACCAAGTCATGGAGAGTCTGACAATTTCCGCCTAGTGCAACCCTCTCTTTGTTGGACCCACCCACCCACGCATGTGCTACCATACCAAAGTTCTATTCGCGAAACCAAACCAGGCAATTTCTACACGAGCAGCGAACTCACTACTGAGTTCGCTGATTTGCGAAATGCCTTGTGAGCGGACGACGCTCCTTGCTGGCAGTGGTAACACGAGAAGTCAGTGCCAGCAGGCATAGGGATTTGTTGACCCTGTTGACGGGGAGGTGAGAACAGATCCACTATATCGAGAAAAAATCATATGTAAATAACTGAGAGCTGTTTAGAGATTCAACCATTCAAAAAACAAAAAACACATTCAAAATTATGTAGCCTTACGTGAGAATAAAAGTATCATTCCATTAATTTTCTTTTGTTTTAATAAACAGAGCTTTTAGGAATATAAGCACTTCTGGGAATCAAAGTGTTTGAGGCAAGTTTCTTGCCGTTGACGACGTCCCTTCTTATCGAATTTCACGCAAGGTAAATTCGAATATTCCCTCCCCCACTCGCCTCCTCGCTTTCACATGGGATTGGCGTCGCCTAATCGCATCTATTCGTTCCTCCTCGCATGCGACGCACCTTGCCCTTCCCTTTCGTTTATCGTTTCACCTGAATTTCCTATCTGTCGCACGCGTCGCCCTCCGCATCGTCGTACACTCCTTGTCGCAAACCATCGCACGAGAAGTAGTACCCAGTCGCGCCCGTCGCCACCTCTCGTATCCATCATGACTGGCGACAACAATAACAGTAGCGCCAACGGCGGCGGCGGCGGCGCCAGCGGCGGTTTGTTACAGCTGGTCGAGTCGCCTATTCCGGAGCAGAAGATCTTTAATAGCCTGCCCTTCCCGCTCGTCCTAACGCCGCGCGTACTCCCGAATCCCGCGAGCACATCCGCTCCCTCCGCACCGTCCGCGCCCTTCGCACCTTCTGCATGCGCTCCCGCTTCCCCCTCATCTTCTCCCCAGACCGTTCCCCTCGCCGCGTCAGAGTCCTCCCCGTCCGACGCGGCAGCTCCTCGCGTCAGCGACGCGGTCGAGTGGATTCGCGCAAACCGCGAATGGCTGCTGGACACGTGGCAGCTGCACGGCGCGGTGCTGCTGCGGGGCTTGCCTCTCGAGTCGCCATGTGACTTTAACGAGGTCGTGGAGGCCTTCGGATTGGACGAGCTGTCTTACGTGGGCGGCGCGGCTCCACGAACGAAGGTGATTGGTTGACGCGTTCGTCCCCTTTCTCCCCTATGCGAATTCTCCTTGACTTCTCATCTCTCCTCTCCCCTCCCTCCTCTCCCATCCCCTCCCCTTCCGCCCCTTCCCTCCTCCGTCTCCCCCCCCCGTGCCCTAGGCTAAAGCTCTTCCTTCTGCACTCCGCCTCGCCGCACCTCACCGCACTTCACGCCTTCTCACCGCACTCAGCCTTCCATGCTTGCCCCTCGCTTTGTCTCCAACATCATGACTCTCCTCTCCTCCGCTTTCTTCCACTGCTCTCCTCCATCCCATTTCACCTCATCCCCACTCACTGCCCTCCACCCCTCTTCACCCCTCTCCATCCATCTCCACCCCTCTCCACTCCTCTCCATCCTTCGCTAACCCCAGGTAGCTCCACGTGTGTTCACAGCAAACGAGTCGCCTCCGGATCAGAAGATTCCATTCCACCACGAGATGGCGCAGGTGAGAGACGAGGAGGGATTGGGGGAGAGAGTTGTGGGTTGGGGAAAAAGGGGACGAGGGGGGTGAGGTGAGGGGAGGGGGGAGTTCGTGAGAGTCCCTTCCGACGAGCTAACCCGCCGCCTGGCTCTGAAGCAACCCTCGTTTGTGGCACAGCTGAGCACCAAGGAGCTGCTGTATGTGCGCTGCCTCTTCCTCTGCTGAGTCCCTGCCTCAGCTCAAGCTACATTCCCTCCCCCTACTCCCTCTCCCTCTCCCACTCCCACTCCCTCTCCCACTCCCACTCCCACTCCCACTCCTTTCTTCTCCTCTCTGCTCCCTACCAGGTACCAGAATACCCAACCCGACTCTTCTTCTTCTGCCAGGTGCCTCCAGCAAGCGGAGGCGAAACCCCCATCCTGCCCTCTTGCGAGCTGACCAGACTCCTTGCTCACACACACCCCTTTTCTTCCACTGCACCTTGCCCTCTACCAGGTATTCGAGTACCCAACCCGCCTCTTCTTCTTCTGCCAGGTGCCTCCAGCAGTCGGAGGGGAAACCCCCATTCTCCCGTCTTGCGAGCTGACCAGGCGCCTGGCTCTGAAGCACCCCTCATTTGTGCACCTTCTTGTGCCTGCCCTCCTCCCTGTTCTCCCTCTCCTCCCTCCATACCCCTGTCTCTTCTTCTTCCTCCCTACCAGGTACCCGAGTACCCCACCCGCCTCTTCTTCTTCTGCGAGACCCCTCCAGCAGTCGGAGGCGAAACCCCCATCCTACCCTCGTGCGAGCTGACTCGCCGGCTGGCCCACACGCACCCCTCGTTTATAGCACAGCTGAGAGCCAAGGGGCTGCTGTATGTGCCACGCTCTGCTGCTGCCATGCCGAGTGGTCCCCTCCTTTCCTTACCTTAGCCCTTTCCTCCCCTTGCTCCCTACCAGGTACCCGAGTACCCCACCCGCCTCTTCTTCTTCTGCGAGACCCCTCCAGCCACAGGGGGCGAAACCCCCATCCTGCCTTCCTGCGAGCTGACTCGCCGCCTGGCTCTGAAGCACCCCTCGTTCGTGGCACAGCTGAGGGCCAAGGGGCTGCTGTATGTGCGTGTTTTACCGGAAGTGGACGATCCGAGCAGTGCTATCGGGAGGGGATGGAAGTCCACGTTTCTGACTGACAACAAGGAGGAAGCTGAGCAGAAGTGAGTGACTTTCACATGTAGCTACTAGCTTGTAGGGGGTGGCCCACACTCAACCCTCGCTGGGGGCCTAGGTTCACCTGAGCGCCAAGGGGCTGCTGTGTGTGCGCGTGCTGCCAGAGGAGGATGATCCTTCCAGTGGTATCGGGCGGGGATGGAAGTCGACTTTCCTGACAGACAGGAAGGAGGAGGCTGAGGAGAAGTGAGTGCTCTTCACATGTAGCTAGTAGCTAGTAGGGGTGGCTCACACACACCCCTCTCATGCATGGCACGGCACAGCTCAGCTGAGAGCCAAGGTGCTGCTGTATGTGCTCGTTCTGCCAGAAGAGGACGACCCGAGCAGTGCCATCGGGCGAGGATGGAAGTCCACGTTCCTCACGCAAGACAAGCAGGAAGCTGAAGAGAAGTGATTTGGTATTGGATGTGAGGCCCAAGGGGCTAGCAAAGACACCCCTCGTTTGTGGCTCGGCTGAGAGCCAAGGGGCTGCTGTATGTGTGTGCGCGTGCTGCCAGAGGGGGATGACCCGAGCAGTGCGATTGGGAGGGGTTGGAAGTCCACTTGCCTCGTTGACAGCTAGGAGGAGGCTGAGGAGAGGTGAGTTGTAAGGGCGTGGAGAAGGGGAATGAGCGCCACGGGGCTGCTGTGTGTGTGTGCGCGCGTGCTGGCAGTAGAGGAGGATTACCAGACCAGACCCAGTGGAAGTGGTGTAAGTCAGAATCTCTTCTGGCTGGCAAAGAGAGTGAAGCTGGAGTGGCAGGTGGCTTTTGAGTCGACTCAAAAGTCACCCCGAGCAGACCCGATGGAATGGGGTGGAAGTCAGAAACTCAATCTCTTCTGGCTGGCAAAGAGAATGAAGCTGGAGTGGCAGACGGGCGGCATTGTTTGGACCGCATGCACCTGCCGCCCTTAGTGGGAATATACGCTTAACACCTTAAGCGTATAGCGTATGTACGCTAGCGTACATACGCTATCCGCTATACGCTAGCGAATACGCTATACGCTATCAGAAAAAATTTAGGGCTGCCCGAAAAAAAATCGCAAAAAAGATGCGGAATTCCTAGGTGAGCATTTCGCCATAGTCGAAATTCAAATCCGCGGTCTAGGCAAACGGGGATCTGACTTCGAAGTCGTCTGGCAAATCTTGAATTTGAGATCCATATAGGGATTGAAATCCATCCCTTCTACCACATTGAACCCCACTTTATCTACAAACACCAACCTGTCAAATTTAACCCCCCAACAAATCTCACGGTACTTACCAGCCAACCCTTTTGGCTAACCCTAACTCGTCATTTCGTTCCCGCTTTCACCAGAGTTCACGCTACTTCGCTTTCAAGCTATTAGGTCTACTCCACCTCCCATTGTACTAGTCATTCGGATTCAGGATTATGCTAGGGCAAGCTTTAATAAGAAGAGGGAGTACTTTTTTCACCTGCCCAGAAAGTTTTTCCTCTGCCCGAAAAAACGTATCTGCAAACCGGACCCCTAAGCGGATAGCGTATATACGCTAGCGTATATACGACACGCGTATATACGCTAGCGTATATACGACACGCGTATATACGCTATACGCGTATATTCCCACTTACCTGCCGCCCACCTCCAACCCCCCTCCAACCCTCACTCTCACCTGGCTTCACTCCCCCCCTCCCCTCTCCCCCTTCTTCCCTCTCCCTTCCCCTCTCCTCCTCTCCCCCCTCCCCTCTCCCCGTTTTCCCCCGTCTCCCCCCTCTTCCCCCTCCCCTCTTCGCCCCCCTCTCCCTCCTCGCTGCTGGACCCAGCCGGGTTGCTTGCAGTGTGTCGAGATGGCCGAGTTGGTCTAAGGCGCTGGATTAAGGTTCCAGTCCGAAAGGGCGTGGGTTCAAATCCCACTCTCGACACTTTTTGCATATTTGTTTAATACCGTATGTGTGCCGTGATTACATCCCGCTTGTTTAGAAGGTTGTTTGAACGTTTTATTTTCCCTGTCTTTGTCTTCCTTTTTTTGAAGTCATGTCGCTCGCCCCCGAACCTAACACTCCCCTCGCCCCCGAACCTAACACTCCCCTCGCCCCCGAACCTAACACTCCCCTCGCCCCCGAACCTAACACTCCCCTCGCCCCCTAACCTAACACTCCCCTCGCCCCCTAATCTAACACTCCCCTCGCCCCCTAACCTAACACTCCCCTCGCCCCCGAACCTAACACTCCCCTCGCCCCCGAACCTAACACTCCCCTCGCCCCCTAACCTAACACTCCCCTCACCCCCTAACCTAACACTCCCCTCGCCCCCGAACCTAACACTCCCCTCGCCCCCGAACCTAACACTCCCCTCGCCCCCTAACCTAACACTCCCCTCGCCCCCTAATCTAACACTCCCCTCGCCCCCGAACCTAACACTCCCCTCGCCCCCTAACCTAGCCCCGTTGCCCCTCCCGTGCAAAGCTAGGGGTGAAGCTGGAGTGGCAGGCAGACGACATTTTGAGGCGCCTCAAAATGCACCTCACTACACGCGGATTTCTTTTGAGGCGCCTCAAAATGCACCTCACTACACGCGGATTTCTTTTGAGGCGCCTCAAAATGCACCTCACTACACGCGGATTTCTTTTGAGGCGCCTCAAAATGCCCCTCGCTCTGTCCCTAACCTTGCCCCATTGCCCCTCCCGTGCAAAGCTTGAAATGAAGCTGGAGTGGCAGGCAGACGACAGCGATCGCCCGCCAATGCTCCTATCTGTTGCTACTTCCGGCCCTTCAACTCAACTCTCCCATTCGCACTCTCCCTCCGCCCTCTCCCATTTGCACTCTCCCATTCGCACTCTCTCATTCGCACTCTCCCATTCGCACTCTCCCTCCACCCTCCACCCTACGCCACTTCTCCACTCCCCACCACCCTTCCCGCTGCCTTGCAGGGCGGCAAAGCTAGGGGTGAAGCTGGAGTGGCAGGCGGACGGCAGCGTTCGGACTGTTTCCGGGCCTATCCCCGCGCTTAGGGTTGACACCAGGCCTCTACCGAGCCTCTCCACAAAACCTCGTGTTGCTCAGGAAGAGGTCCGGGATGAACAGGTTCGGGAGGAAGAGGTTGGGGAGGGGGAGGTTCGGGAGGAAGAGGTTCGGGGGGAAGAGGTTCGGGAGGCGTGGTTCAACAGCATGGTAGCAGCTTACACAGGGTGGAAGGACGTGCGTAACGATCCGACCAAGGCGGTTACATTCGGCGACGGGGAGGCGTTACCGGGGGAGGTTGTACTGGCAGTGGAGGAGGAGATGGAGCGGCTGGCAGTGGCTGTGCCGTGGCGACGTGGCGACGTGCTATTGGTGGATAACCTCACAGTGCAGCACTCCCGGCGGTCGTTTGAGCCCCCTAGGCGGATCCTGGCATCCCTTGCCAAGTGAATTTCCTCTCAGTTTTGCATGTACATTTGTAGATGGGGAGGGGAGGTGTTACCGGGGGAGGCTGTACTGGTGGTGGAGGAGGAAATGGAGAGGTTGGCAGTGGCTGTGCCGTGGCGACGTGCGATTGGTGGATAACCTTTCTGTGCATCATTCCCAGCGGACGTTTGGACCTCCCAGACGGATCTTGGCATCGCTTGCCAAGTGACATCTCTCCAGTTTTTCATGTAGGATTGGGCAACAGGGAGGTGCTACTGGGGGAGGGAGGCCCTAGTATTGCCATGCAGCACTCCCGGCGGTCGTTTGAGCCCCCTAGGCGGATCCTGGCATCCCTTGCCAAGTGAATTTCCTCAGTTTCGCATGTACATTTGTAGATGGGGGGGAGGAAGGCGTTACCGGGGGAGGTTGTACTGGCGGGGAGGAGGAGAGGGAGCGGTTGGCAGTGGGTGCGCCGTGGCGACGTGGCGACGTGGCGACGTGCTATTGGTGGATAACCTTTCTGTGCATCGTTGTTTGAGCCTCCTAGGCGGATTTTGGCATCGCTTGCCAAGTGACCTCCATCTAGTTTTGCATGTACATATTTTTCTTGCTTTTTAATCCTTGTGTAGGAGCATGATGACAAAAAACAAGATGTTATTTTGTTTGGTTTTAGCACGTATTTCTCTGTTAGCATGTCTGTACGGATATGATCGAATTGAGCCTGATCGTATACATGCTGTCTGCAGCGCGAATAAGTGTGATCATCAGACCCAGAGCTCCTTGTGCAAGCACTGATCATCCCATCTCATCCCACCATTTCAAAACTTCCCTTCTTGTTATCCATTCCGAGCAAGCACTGAGCGAAAGCCTATCTGCGACGTACCAAGCCTGCTACTTACAACGGGGTTTATGTGTTTTTAGTGTGGAAACGCGATTCTGAAAGGCACGCGCACAGGAGGCGGGTGGTGAGCAAGAGACGGTGCTGATGACGGCCGATATTCCTGACGGCGACCGTCCTCCTCGTGACGACGACGGTCATGTTAGTGACGGAGAGGGTCATGTTCGTGACGGCGACCGCCTTGCGCGTGACGGCGACAGTCAATTTTGTGAAGGCGACAGTCAATTTTGTGAAGGCGACAGTCAATTTCGTGACGGCGACAGTCAATTTCGTGACGGCGACAGTCAATTTCGTGACGGCGACAGTCATGTTCGCAGTACAGGAGGGGAAGGGGAGGAAATGCGGGAAGAGGGAGATGCGTGGGGATTGACGGATGATGGTGGAGGAGAGAGAGAGGAAAGAGAAGAGTGTCGACGAGGAAAGGATGAAAGCGAAGCGGGAGAAAGGGACGAGGGAGGAGGTAGAAGCGAAGAATGGGAAGAGGAAGGAGATGAAAGCGAAGGAAAAGTGGGGGGAGGAGGACGAGAAGGAGCAAGGGAAGGGGGAGGAGGAAAAGCAGAGAGTTCAAGGGGGGTAGAAGTGCGTCCGGAGGGGGGCCAACGGAAGGAGAGGGGAGCGGTGGACGAGGGGGGGCTGAGGGAAGGTGAGAAAGAGAGAGAGGGAGAAAGGGAAGGAGGGGGGAAAGACGCAAAGGGAATTCACGGGGGAGAGATACGTCCGGAGGGGGAACAATGGAAGGAGGAGGAGGGAGTGGCGGGTGAAGAGGAGGGTAGGGAGGAAGCAGGGGATGCAGAAGAGGAGGAGGAGGGAGGCGAGAAGGAGAAAGAGAAAGAGGAAGTGGAGGAAGACGAGAAAGGCAAAGAAAAAGATGAGGATAAGGAAAAGGAGGAAGAAAAGGCAGAGGAGGAAGACGAGGAGGAGGAAGAGGAGGAGGAAGAGTACGTGTATTTGGATTTGAGCCAGGCAGTTAGGAGGCTGCCTCGGAATTGCCGACTCATTATCGAGGTAAGCATGGGGGAGCCATGCACTTACGCGGGTTAAAAGCGGCTAGGAGCGGGGTGCTTTTTATCCCTTTTTTTATTCCTTTTTTTTTCATTCTCCTTAGTGCAACTGATTTCTAAAAATTCTGTAGTGCGAGCTGAATAGTGAGGGGTTTTATAAGGGCTTGAAGGGGAGGGGTGGAGGCGGGCAGAACATAGGGAGGGCTAATCATAGAGCGAGGGGAATAGTTCAGAAAAGGAATATCTGTGAAGGGGACTAGTCATGAGGGTAGTTGCAATGGTTGTCGCATGTGATGGGGAATGAGTTCTTCGTCCTTTCTTGCTTTTTTTTTCTCGCTTTTGTCCTGAAATGCGTGGTTCAGTTCAGATGGTCGCTGTGTCCATGTATGCACGTGTGCGGTGCGCGCACACTCGCACATTCATGAAGCTATATTCTGGTTGGATGAGCTGAATTTTGTGTTTGTGTAAATCGACGTGTGTTGAGTTATGATGCCCTGCGTTTTGTGGCACGTGTCCTATCCAGAATCTGGAGTCAGAGTCGCCAACACTGCACCTGCCAGATGGCAGCACACTGGTAAGCCACGTTAGCATAAGCCACGTCATCATTAGTGACGTCACTGGTAAGCCACGTCGTCATTAGTGACGTCACTGGTAAGCCACGTCGTCATTAGTGGCGTCACTGGTAAGCCACCCACGTCATCATCAACCACATCATCTTCAGACCCTAAAACTCTCAACACTAAACCCGAAACCAGTATATGGAAAGCACAGTACTACCATGGCTTGGTATATCCCTTGTGATTTTTGCCCCTCTTTCTCACGTGATGCACGGGCAGTGCCTCACATGACCCTGGTCATTATAGTGCCCTGTCTCAGTGTCCTGCCCTCCCACATTACCATTCCCCCCGCCTCCCATAGCACATTACCCCTCTCCCTCCTGCATCACATTACACGTTCTGTCAATGGGAGATATTTTTCTGAACCGATATGATAGTTTTCTGATACGATATGATAGCTAAAGCAAAAGTTTTCTGATATGTTTTAGAACCGATTCAGCCTGTGCGTCCACCCTTCTCTCTCATTTGAATCAACCACCTGAATGCCCGTGTCCATCCGGGTGACTTTTGAGTCGGCTCAAAAGTCATCTTTCCCTCTCTCTCACATTCGAATCAACCACCTCAATGCCCTTGTCAAAGAAGCAGATTCAGCCTCACATTCAAATGGTCCGCTTCAATGCCCTTGTCCCTCCAGGTTGGAGACTTTGAGGAGACTCTGGGTTCCTGCCTCTTCTTCCAAGAGAGTAAGCTGATGGGAAAATTTTGTCTTTATTTCCGTCTCACCCGTTTGTGCCCATGAGAGATTGAGGGGTAAGGGGTAAGGGGCATGAGGGGGAGAGGAGGGAAGCACTTTTTGGGAGCACAAGTCGCTGTGACCCCCTGTGATACCAGCCTGGTTGTTTTGTGCTCCAACCAGCTCTCCTCAGAGAAACATCGAGACAATTGTTTGTGCAGTATTTTTCCGTTTCTAACCATCCGCTTTGCTCTCTGTTGCAGCTCTTGTGCCTGCTGCTGCCTCCGCTCCTCCCAGCAACGCATCAGGCCCATCCACGTTCCCTGCCGGTGCTGCTGCTGCAGCTGGTGGTGGTGTTCCACCAGCATTAGGGGAACAAGCAATGGCAGGGAAACAGGGTCCAGCAGTGGGAGGCGAGCAGAAAAGAAAACGATGTGTTAAATACATTGGGAAAGCAGAACTCAGATTGACGTTCAGGAAACTTTCCTAATGCTGTCTTGGTTCGATTGCTAACAAATAAGGTTATGCTCACTTAGCTGCTACACATACTAGTCCAATACTGTATTAGTGTGGTGCTAATCCGCTGACATTAAAGCGGGGAAGTCTAGGAGTGGACAACACGTGTACTATTTTCAGCTGTCCAGGACAGCCTCCCTGAAGCCGCATTTGCTGTGATGGACTGATCAAAGTGCGGTTCAGTAAGCTTCTTCACGGTTAGCACCCATGTTTACATTTCACCGATTTTGAGCGCAATGCACCAGACAATACCGAGGTAATCGCGGGATTCAGTCAATGCAGGCAGTTCTCTGCAAGCAGTTCTCTGCAGGATTTTCGTCGTCCTTGGGAATCTCTCATCTCCAACTGTCGGTCAGTTTGCCAGGCAGCCATTCGGTGCCGTCAACAGCACGGCTGCAGCAGAACAGAGCCAAAACGGCCTGCTCGATTCCGTCGTTCTGGAATCTGTCCGCCTCTCGGTCATTCAGAGCCTTACCGTGCACTGAACTGCACGGGTGAGAGTAACATTCGTTTTTTTTTTCAGCATAGTCGAGGCGCTTTGTTGCGTCCTGCTCCTCATCACATTACACGCGCTTCTAAGATCCCCGAGAGGGATTCGTATTTCAGCTGGGCCAAGGCTACTAGCCGATCCGAATGTCAACGCTGAACTTTCTGACCGTTGCTCAGATCCCATCAGCCACTCTCGCGGTTCGCGGATCCTTATCAGGCTCGCTCCACAAATCACTTTCAGATTTTCATCCTCAGTCTCGACCGTACGCGCTAAGATCGGCCTCGTCAAGCGACACAATCACACAAACAGCAACGCGATTTCTCCCGTCAGTGGGTAACTTCCGGATTCGCTCGCGATCACCGGCGAACGTTAGTAATCGGCGATCGGCAGTTGTCATGGCTGCTTCGGGTGCGTCGGACGGTAGCGACATCTTCAAGCGAAGCATCAACCTCATGATCGTATCTGACCTCGACAACACCATGGTGATTATTCCACTTACCAGATTCCATGTCTGATCGTCTGTTCCTGGTCTTCAGGCCTCGAACTCATAAGTTTCTTTGTTTCTCACATCGAATTCCTCTCGCTCGACCTAGTCTTCATTTGAATCTAATTTTCCACACGCGGCCCCGTTCTGTCACGGGGTCTTTAATCCCATCTGATTCTTTCTGTTCCTTTAACCTGATCAGGTGGACCACAAGGATCCCAACCACGAGTCGCTGCGCGAGTTCGCGTCTCTGTGGCAGTCCACGTTCGCGCGCGACTCGCTGCTCGTGTATTCCACTGGCCGCTCGCCCACCCTCTACAACCAACTCAAGAGCCAAGTGCCGCTGCTCACGCCTGGTACGTTGCTTTAGGGAATACAAGTGAGTCGCTTGTTCGCGGGGTATACAGGGGCGTATGCGTCGCTGTGGCGGTCCATACTCGCACGGGACCACAAGGGATCCCAATCACGAGTCGCTGCGCTAGGGGTACAGCCTACAGGCGAGTGCAGGGGCGTATGCATCGCTGTGGCAGTCCACGTTCGCGCGCGATTTGCTGCTCGTCTACTCCACTGGCCGCTCGCCCACCCTGTACAACCAACTCAAGGGCCAAGTGATACCTGTCTATACAGTCACACCCATCTATACAATGATACCTGTCTATACAGTCACACCCATCCATACAGTGATACCTGTCGATACAGTCACACCCATCTATACAGTGATACCTGTCTATACAGTCACACCCATCTATACAGTGATACCTGTCTATACAGTCACACCCATCTATACAGTGATACCTGTCTATACAGTCACACCCATCTATACAGTGATACCTGTCTATACAGTCACACCCATCTATACAGTGATACCTGTCTATACAGTCACACCCATCTATACAGTGATACCTGTCTATACAGTCACACCCATCTATACAGTGATACCTGTCTATACAGTCACACCCATCTATACAGTGATACCTGTCTATACAGTCACACCCATCTATACAGTGATACCTGTCTATACAGTCACACCCATCTATACAGTGATACCTGTCTATACAGTCACACCCATCTATACAGTGATACCTGTCTATACAGTCACACCCATCTATACAGTGATACCTGTCTATACAGTCACACCCATCTATACAGTGATACCTGTCTATACAGTCACACCCATCTATACAGTGATACCTGTCTATACAGTCACACCCATCTATACAGTGATACCTGTCTATACAGTCACACCCATCTATACAGTGATACCTGTCTATACAGTCACACCCATCCATACAGTGATACCTGTCGATACAGTCACACCCATCTATACAGTGATACCTGTCTATACAATCACACCCATCTATATAGTAATACCTGTCTATACATTCACACCCATCCATACAGGAATAGCCGTCTATACAGTGACACCCGTCTACAGTCACACACCCGTCTAGAATACAGTACCTCGGCAGCAGCTTGGTGTGTGTGCGAATGGGCATCCGCCAGGGAAGCCATCAGATTCTCCAGTCGAGGAACATGATCCTATGTATACAGCCACACCCAGTTACAATACAGTACCTCAGCAGCAGCCTGGTGTGTGTGTGAATGGGCATCCGCCAGGGAAGCCGTCAGATTCTCCAGTCGGGCCAAGCGAGCCTCCACTGCAGCATTGTACCCCTCCGCCTGGGATGTATGAGGGGAGAGAGACAAACGACAATGACAAGCCGTTCGGTTATTTTGGTGGAGCCAAGCCAAACGAGCCTTCACTGCAGCATTGTACCCCTCCGCCTGGGATGTACGAGTGGCAACAGCGGGCAGGCACGTCACACGCGGGGGGTGGAGGGGGGGGGGAGAGAGACAAACGACAATGACAAGCCGTTGGATTCTTTTGGTGGAGCCAGACGAGCCTCCACTGCGGCGTTGTATTGTACCCCTCTGAGGTGACTTTTGAGTCGACTCAAAAGCCACTGCGGCGTTGTACCCCTCTGAGGTGACTTTTGAGTCGACTCAAAAGCCACTGCGGCGTTGTACCCCTCTGAGGTGACTTTTGAGTCGACTCAAAAGCCACTGCGGCGTTGTACCCCTCTGAGGTGACTTTTGAGTCGACTCAAAAGCCACTGCGGCGTTGCACCCCTCTGAGGTGACTTTTGAGTCGACTCAAAAGCCACTGCGGCGTTGTACCCCTCTGAGGTGACTTTTGAGTCGACTCAAAAGCCACTGCAGCGTTGCTTGCACCCCTCCGCCTGCCATTGTGTGGCTTTAGGGGGAACGTGAGAGGGGGAGAGGAGAGTGACAGACGACAATGACAATACGTCAGATTCTCCAGCCGGGCCGAGCGAGCCTCCCCTGCAGCGTTGAACCCCTCCGCCTGCCATTGTGTGTGGCATTAGTGGGCACGTCGCACGTGAGGGGGGTGGAGGGGGGGAGGAGAGTGACGGACGACAATGACAATACGTCAGATTCTCCAGCCGGGCCAGACGAGCCTCCGCTGCAGCGTTGTACCCCTCTGCCTGCCATTGTGTGGCGTCAGGGGAAAAGTGATGGGTGAGGTGAGGTGAGGTGAGGTGAGGTGAGGTGAGGGGAGGTGAGGTGAGGTGAGGTGAGGGGAGGGGAGGGGAGGTGAGGGGAGGTGAGGGGAGGTGAGGTGAGGGGAGGTGAGGTGAGGTGAGGGGAGGTGAGGGGAGGGGAGGGGAGGGGAGACGCAGGTGACAATGGCAAGCCGTTGGGTTCTCTGGTCAGGCTAGAGGAGCCTCTAGTGCGGCAGCTTGCTGTATCCCTCCGCCTGCCATTGTGCGCCATCAGTGGGCACGTGACGTGAGGGGAGGGGAGGGGAGACGCAGGTGACGATGGCAAGCCGTTGGATTCTCCGGTCAGGCTAGACGATTTTTGAATGCAGCAGCCTGTATCGTTCCACGCGAGATCCACGCGTTGGATTCTCATCAGTGAGCTATGTCTGGACCTGCAGCAGCTTGTATCGTTCTCTCGAGCTCTCAGAACAGGACACACGCAGCGGTAGGGAATCCTGTTGGTGCGCAGCGATTCTGCAGACAGGACGTCGTTCGTTCTGCGCCGTGACGTCACTGGAGGTACAGTGACGTCAGCGAAGGAACATCGACGCCAGCAAATGAGCAGTGACGTCACTGAAGCAACAGTGACGTCACGGAAGCAACAGTGACGTCACTGAAGCAACAGTGACGTCCGCGATGGACAGTGACTTTGCGGGGTAGCATGCTGCGATGCTCCATGTTCCCTTGGCGCATCAGTCTTTCCGTCACTGTTCCGATATAGGCTGAACCGGTACAGGCCTCACCTGCTCCGTGAGCACTTTATGACTCGCTAAGAGATCTCGTTGTAACATGTACATCGCTCCCGCCGACGCCACCGCGAATCCCGCCAAGAATCCGCCGAGCCGCGCGCGGAACAGAGCCATTAGTACCTAGAATCAACAACTACACTGTGAGGGCGACTAGAAATCGTATCTTCAGAATTTCGAGGTCCACACAGTATATAGGAAGAAGCGGCGAAAAGGTAGATCAGTCAGCGATACGGGTGATCAACAGAGTTGGATCAAGAGGAGACCTCTTTGTCCAAAACGGCTGGGCGGGAAAACGGCAGCAGGGGTAACTATCGCGACAGACTCAATGACTGCGCTTCGGTTGCTCCGCGTTGCGGGTTTCCTGCCTCGCAGCGCGTTATGGCGCCGAGCTGAGCCTGGGGAGAGGCGATACTAAAGAGAGGCTAGAGGGAAGTACCGTAAGTGGGAGTAGCTCAAGACGCGCGGAGCTATAGAATCAGTCGGTGGTATCTGTGGCTCTAGATCGGGATTCAGTTACCATTCAATTCGCGCAGGCGAGAGTCCTTTTGCGAAGCGATGGAAGACTTCAGGTTTCGCCAAGCCCGTGATGGATGGATGACCGAAGAGTGAGATGTTACCATCACCTGATTCTGCAAGGTCGAAGATTTTGAAGTTCGGCTGAAAGTGGGTGTGGTTTATCGTGAGACCATATTTTTCTTGTAGCAGTACACTTTTGCGGTGAAATCTGGCAAATTGTGAGTCAGTTCAAGGCGAATACAGAAGCTTCTTTTGGTTCCTCCTGCTACTCACTGCTTCAGCTGCTGCTGCTGCTTTGGCTGTTCGTGCTGCTGAGTCAGCCTTATCCGTTTCGCAACTGATGGGATATTGCGACTGCCTTTCAGGATCCAGCCCCGTCTTTTAACGGTCCATTCAAAAGCGACAGCTCTTCGTACTAAAGAATACGCTCTTTTTTAATCGCCATTAGAATCCACAGGCGGCTGAATCCCTCGGCGTCGCTATGGCAGTCTGCACGTCGCAGCTGGGTCTGACCAGCCAGCATTCGATCTTGACGGCTGCCGGCAGTTTAGACGGTCATCAAAACAAGCTTCAAGCATTTTCATCCCCCCACAGCCCGTCATTACTCGTCAGAAAGCCACGTGTCGTTTGCTCGTTGGGTCCTGAGATCGAGAAGTCCGGGTTTGGGTTTAACGCAGTGACACGTGGCAGGAGGCCGAGCACGGCTTGCAGAGCGGATAAAAAGGTAAGCTGCTTGTGCTTTTCGGAGTAATGTTGGAGTTCATAAACTCAGGGAAGAAGTGACTTTTGAGTTGACTCATAAGTCACCTCGTAATGTTGGAGTTCATTAACTCAGGGAAGTCGAGGAGGACTAATCTTCAACCTTCAAATCCACGACACACGATCACGGAGAAACGCTAAGCAAACTTACGCACTTCGTCTGATGGATGAGTCATTTAGCTTTCTTATCTCTATAGACCAATCGGGAGTTTCTAGTTCGACTCAATTTTCACTCGCTAAGCCTTCTCGTGCGTGTTCGTGTCTTCCCAGGAGCAGAGGGTAAGGCGCTGAAAATTTTCCTCAATCCAGAGAAAAAGGTTTGTGTGAACAAGTGGGTCGCGGAGATTAAGAAGCATTTCAACCCGCACTACGCCCCATCCGCACACCTCTCTCCCCCTTTTCCCTCCCCTCGCCCACCCGCACACCTTGTCCCGTCCCCAGGACGCGGCGAGAAAGGTGTTGGAAGATGCTCTGTCAGGCAAGAAGGACCTTTTGAACAAGTGGGACGCGGCGATCACGCAGCGAGGTCTGATTCTTTTTCCTTCCCCCTTCATCCTTCTTTTCACCCTTCTCCCCTTTTTCCCATAGGACGCAGCGAGAAAGGCGTTGGAAGATGCTTTATCGGGAAAGAAGGACCTTTTGAATAAGTGGGACGCGGAGATTAAGAAGCGTGAGGAGGGCGGCGGGGGAGGGGAGGGCCGGGGGAGGGGCTGGGGGGGAGGTGGAGGAGGTGGGGGAGGGGATGGGGATGGCGTGAGCGGCGGTGGGGATGAGCGGTGGGAGGAGACGAAGCAGGTTCTGTTTGCGATCGGCGGCATGCTTGGCATTGTGAGTCCGTTTTGAGACGTGTTCTGACTGAGAGGTCTCAAAATGGTTGAATGGTCGGAGGTGGGAGATGAGCGGTGGGGGGGGACGAAGCATGTTCTGCTCTTTATGATTGTGCTTGGCATTGTCACCGCGTTTTGAGATGTGGTTTGAAATATGCCTAAGTACCTGTGTGGGGGGGGGAAGGGGAAGGAGAGGCGGAGAGATGAGCTGTGGGACGAGACGAAGCTGCAAACACAGCCTGCTGACTTTTGAGTCGACTCAAAAGTCATAAGCTGCAAACAGAGCCTGCTTGGTGTTACGCTACCTTCTTTTTGAGTCATCACAAAAGTAAACTCCGATCACTGTGAGTGTGTTTGGGGGGATTTGTAACGTTTCTGCTATGGGAATCTGCAACACTACTCTCCCCCGGCCCCCCCTCCTCTCTTTTGATTGTTTGTGGTCTCATGGACCTTTTGTGCGTTTCAGTTCCATTTGTTTGTTACCAAATATATCAAGTTTTTTTCTTCTCGTCAACTGTCCTCTCTGCCTCTTTCCATCCGTCCCCTCCTCTCTCCTCCCCTCTAATCCCCTTCGCTCCCCTCCCCTCCCCTTTCCTCCCTCTTCTCCCCCCAACACCCCCTACCCCCAACCTCCCTTTCCTGCCCCACTCAAAACCCAAACCCTGAATCTTCCACCCTACCCGAACAGTACTTGCTGTTCACGCAGGGCCTTCGAATTGTGGCCTTCCTAGTCAACTGCATTCTCTTCGTGCTTCGGGGCTTTAAGGGGCCGCGCTCGCAGCAGCAGGAGATCTACACCCCCCGTGCCGCCACTGCTGGTGCTGCTGCGGACGGTGGGGATGTGGGCGATGCGGGGAAGAGAGAGGAGAGCGTGCGGCAGAAGTGGGGAGGGGATGAATGAGAGGAGCGAGGGAGTAATGAGGAAGAGACGAGTGAGAGGGGAGAAGGGGATGCGTTGAAGGGTCATGAGAGTGTGTGGCATAAGTGGGGGTGCGATGCATGAGAGGAAGAGGTAGTAGTGGTAGGAGTGAGAGAGAGTGTGTGCATAAAAACTGGATCTTGGAAGAGTGAGAGGAATGAGCAAGGATATACGAGAACATTGAGTGAGAAGGGAAGGCTGAGAGTCCTGTGAGGTGGAAATTGCGATGGATGAGTGGGGTGGGGAGGAGATTGGTGAACAGCAGCTAAGGTTTCGCTTTGGTCCTGATGTAGGACCCGACGAGACAACACAACAGCACTTAAGCAGCAGTCAAGTCAACTCTAACAGCAATCTTGTAAAACTCTAGCAGCGCTCCCTTCGCAATGCGCTTGCAGCAGTGTAGTAGACACATAGCAACATGTTACATGCGCTCTTTTGCCATGCCATGGTCTCTGGCTGGAATGCCTCTTTTGCTATTCATTTCCATCAACGACAATTTTCCACTGCTGAATCTCATCCATGCCTCAGGGAAAAATGTTGTATGGTATAATCTTACAGGTGTCATGCAATGTTCTTTGCTGGTTGTGAGCTGGACTGAAATGGATGTGAAGAGAAGTTGATGGTGGGAGGGCTTTTTATGTTAGCAGGTTGAAGTATACGTGATTACTTATTCCTAGTTTGCATATGTTGTTCTGTAAGTGCTGGTGATTCAGCCCTTGCACGTGGCTCTGACAGAACCGTATACAAGCGAAAAGCTGGAAAACGAGGAAATCACGTGTGCGCCCTCAGCTGTGCCCCAGCTTGGGAGAATTCTGTTTCACTTTCAGGGCAGGAGTCACTAGTACGTGTACAGTACTGTCATCCAGCTAACTGTGATGCTCTACTGAGCTGTCATGCCCAAAACGCATTCGAGAGGCCGCGTGGCACCTCGAGAGTGGTTGGTCCCCTTGGTGATCCAACCTATCAACGGCTTTCGCTCGCCCCCAATGTGTTCGATCTGCACACACATGTTTGAGCCGCAATGCCACTACCCTTCGTTTCTTCTTCACGTGTCACAAACTCACAAGGTTGACATTTCTCTCCATGCTCGTTGTTTCATGGAACGGAATTCCACACACCACACAACCGAGGAACGAGAGATTTGTTATCCCCACCCACGGGTATTTACCGACCACCACCGCCTCTCCCACCCACAACCATGAACAACTCCACTTGGCGCCTCTTGCCAACCACCTCATTGCCACCCAAAGGCGCCACTTCATACACGCCCTAAGAACCTCACAACCTCAACTCCAATTCCAGCTCAACGAACTCGATATCGCACTCAACCGCTTGAACCGAACAGAATGTCAACAACCCGCCCTAGCGTACTAGCAACTCATGGCGTTTGACAGCGGTCGTCAAACGTCGTCCTTCCAGCAGTAGAAGCCAGCTAGGTGTATGATCTGGATGGTATAAGGAGCGTTAAAGTCGCCGCAGTCCTCGGCGTGGATTGTGGTGCAGTGCCGTGCACGCTGCACAGATTGCTTAGTTACGGTACACCTCGGCGAAGCAAATCTGCCGTTTCAGTCAGGGCTGCTTTCGGCGACGAATCACAGCGGCTGTTGCTTTTTGCTACTTTGCTGCCTAACCTTGTTCCAGTCTGTTCTTACCTTCACACTTTTCTAGCATCAGATTAACCACCAACTTTAATTGGCGAATGACAACACTACGGCGTAGATACGCTAAGCTTATCCTGTGGATGATGATTTTTCCAGATCGGCAGCTATTGGTAGTGTAGCCGAGTCCTAAAACAGCTTTTCTATGCAGCTGTCTTGCGTCCTTCGTACTGTTAGTGCCATTGAGTCTGCTTCTGCCGCACAGTTTTCATAATGGCGATCAAATCGAACCACTGGTCATAGGTAATCCATTTTATGAACCGCAATATGACGAGACAGACTTTCTCCTCTCCTCTGTTTCGCGGTCGAAAATACCGATTCGACGGGAAGAACCCTTTTGGCATTTTTTTTGGCCAGCATCGAGTTCTCTCCTAAGCGACGCAACATAGTACTAAGGGAATTACAGAACCAGCCACTTGCGCATTCTTGTTCAGGAAGCTCTTACCAGCTCCGAACACTTGACACGCACACAGGGAGAGACTCGCTACTGACCCACCTTGAAAACCCTTCTTTCCCGCGCGGTTCCTCATCCGGAGGTTACCTTTTCCCTGACCTTGAACCGAGTCAGTGGTTTTTTACGACTCGTATGAGCTTTTCTCCTTCTGAAGAGCCGACCAGAATGCTCGCAGTCGCGTCATCTTCTCGCCGCTACCGTGCGTGCAGCTCGTCGTCCCAGCCTGCAGTCCGAATCGACGGCCTGGATCCGTCCGAACGACCGGCGTCGACGGTCGTGATGGCGCGTCACGCCGGCTTGTCGGACATGCGGCCTATCCTGTCAACGAATGGTGATGCGCTAACAGCCGGCGGCGATGGGGATATTGCTTATCATGGTGGTGCTACTGACGGGGATATTACTCATCATGGTGCTAATGACAGGGTTACGCGTTGTCCTGCTGTTGAAGATAACACACGCAGTGCAGAAGAACGTTGTGACCTACCACGCCTGCCCCGCCCGTCTGCAGGGCAATATTCTGCACCTTCCGCTGCCGCCGCCACTCCCGCTGCCGCCGCTGCTGCTGGTGCCACGTCACCGCTTCCTGCCCAACCAATGGGGCGGCCGGATCAGAGCTGTGGCTCTAATTCCTTGTGGCCACGAAGTCACAGCCATTCCGAAGCCATAGGGCGACGAGATCGGAGGGATGGCTCTGATACTATGGGGAGACAGCGCCTTTCCCGGCACCGGCGCACCCGGTCAGTGGAAGCAATGATGGAGACTTCTGGAGTGACAGGGCAGGGGCAGGTGCAGGGACAGGCCACAACAGCAGTGTCTCCCTTGTCGCCCTTCCCACGAGCCTACGTGGCTGTACAGTCACCGGACGGGTTACGGCGAGAATCTTCTGTGGGGAAACAGTCTCCGCAAAATGCGGCAACCTGCTCGTTGACGTCGCCTCACGGTGGCTTTTCCTGTGCCTCCTTGTCAGCGACATCACCCCTCTCTCCTGCTCTCTTGTCTCCTCCTCCTTTGTCTTCCCCACCTATGTCCCTGCTGTCGTCCTCAAAGCCCATCTCTCTGCCATCACCTGCAAAACCCAGCTCTAACGGGAATGGCAAGAGTTTAATTTCAGACTTATCAAGTTAGAAGGTTCCTATCCCTGGTTGCAGCACGTGCAATGGTAGGAGGCCCTCTTCATCGCAGTTACTCAAGAACGAACGGCGTGTGTGCTTCAACAAGATGGTGAAAGTGCGGACCTTCATTGATAGCATTTAGCCGCCCATTGTAGTTGCATTTGCATAATTGTCTGATTATGCTAGAGGATCTCTGTATGCGGTAAGCTCTTCTAAGAGTGTTTTCCTATCCTCGTATCAAGATAACCTCATATCAACCTCCCACTGAAAATTCTTCTAAACCCAAAACCTTTGCTGTTTGTATCAAGAACTTGCCAACATAGCATATATTGCATTCCCGGGAAAATAGTGCTAGGCTAGAGTATGTCAAATGTTACATTTGCGTGTTAGGCTATAGTGGGGCATTCCCTTGAGGTTACATCCCTTCTGGGGTTGCATACTTGTATCTCATTTCCTACTAATCACACCCATTCCGATGCTTTAACATCTTAGGCCTAGACTATACCTCACTTGCTCGTTCCTAGCGCCAGCCAGCCAGTCACTCTCAATATCCTCGCCAGCCGTTGCCAGCCAGCCAGCCATCCTTAGCACGTACAACCGTAGCAGCGCTCGCATCTGTCAAACTATATGTTTATTGTTAGTTAGGCTGTATTGGGGCTAGCTTTAGGGGGTACAGAATTTCTCTCGACATTCTAGCCTTGTACCCCCATCTTGACCTAATCTACTCATTCTTGCCTAGTATTCTTAACATGGTAACTAGAGCAATAAGTCCTTAAGACCTGAGATTCGGGCCCACCATTGTCTGCCCCTACAGCCTTACCTGCCTTGCCTGCTGCCCGCGCGCGCCTCGGCTGCGCGCGCCCGTTAAAATTCTTTTTTTTTTAGCGCGCCCCACTGCTGCACCTCGCGAACGGCCCGCTGCAGCTTAGTGCGTCGCGCTGCCCGCCTCAGCCGCCCGTCGCCTACAGCCGCGCGCAGCCCGCAGCCTGCCGCCCGACGCCGCGCACAGCCTGCAGCCGCGCGCAGCCCGTTGCCACGCGCAGCCCGCCGCCCGCCGCTGCGCGCAGCCTGCAGCCGCGCGCAGCACGTCGCCCCGAGCAGCCCGCAGCCGCGCGCAGCTTGCAGCCCCGCGCAGCCTGTCGCTGCTGCGCTCTGCCCTGTCTGCACGCTGTCGCCTCGCCCTGTGCGCTTGCTGCCCTGCCTTGCGCCTGCCTTGTCTTGCACCTTCCTGCCTTGCACCTGCCGGCCTGCCTGCCTGCCTACTGGCCTGCCTGCCTGCCTTGCGCCTGCCTTGCCTTGCACCTTCCTGCCTTGCACCTTCCTGCCTTGCACCTGCCGGCCTGCCTGCCTGCCTACTGGCCTGCCTGCCTGCCTGCTGGCCTGCCTGCCTGCCTTGCGCCTTGCATCCATTGCACCAGCCTGACTTGTGAGCCTGATAGCTGCTGTAGTCTGTTGCCTTTGCCTACGCTGCTGTAATGGCGACGCTTAACGTTCTCACGTTTGAGCCTGACGGTCTCCCGATAGAATTTGCCACTTGGCTTGACGACCTGCAGCTATTTCTTATGACGGATGCCAAAGACGGCGTTTCTCTGTTCGATCACGCGTCAGGCACTGCCGCTGCCCCTACTGCCACTGATCCTGTTCTTGACCGCTCACAGTGGCAGACTCGCGATGCTGCTGCGCGCCTCGCTATCCGTAACCACCTGCCGATCACTGAGCGCACGCATTTTAGTCAGCACAAGACTGCTAAGGCGCTATATGACGCTGTAGTTGCGCGCTATTCCTCCCCAGCCACTGCAGCCGTAGGACGCCTCATCCTGCCCTACCTGTTCCCCGACCTGTCCTCGTTTTCCACCGCTGAGGACCTCATCTCTCACCTCCGCGCTAGTGACGCCCGCTTTCGTGCCGCTCTTACCGACGAGTTGCTAGCCACGAACACCCCACCGCTGTACTTTACCCTCTACATCCTCGTCACTCGCCTCCCTGACACTCTTAGCTCGGTAAGGGACCATTTCCTCGCCAAGGACCCTACCACTATCACGCTAGCCGACTTCGAGCAGCAGCTCCTAGCAGCAGAGAAGAACATCCTCGCTGTAGGTGCTGCCCGTGGCACTCCACGCACTCCCCTCTTTGAGGGGTGCTCCCCCTCCCCTCTTGCCCCCTCCTACGCCTCAGCTGCTGCTGCAGTCGACCTCCTCGGTGCTGAGAAGGTTGCAGCGACTTCCGCTCCTAGTGGGAAGCGCGGCGGTGGCAGGGGCGGCAAGGGTGGCAGGGGTGGTGGCGGTGGCGGTGGCGGGAGCGGTGGTGGAGGCGGCGGGGGTGGTGGCGGTGGCGGTGGTGGGGGTGGTCGTGGGGGTGGAGGAGGTGGGTGGGGCGGTGGTGGAACCGGGAGTGGTGGAGGTGGCAGCGGAGGTAGTGGGGGAGGAGGCAGTGGTGGTGGCAGTGGAGGTGGGGGCGGGAGTGGGACCAGCCATAAGGGGAGTTCCAGTGGTGGCCAGCAGCAGCAGCAGCAGCAGCAGCAGCAGCAGCAGCGCCAGACCCCCTCTTCTCAGCAGCTCCATGACTGGTATGCCGGGCGTGGGGCGTCTGGGGGTCCTGGTCGCTGCCCCTATGTCATTCTCACTGGTCCCCGTAAGGGTCGCCCATGCAACGGCTTTCACACTGAGTACCGCTGCTTCGCTCGGCTCAGCGACGCCTGGCGCGCCAAGTTTCCTGATGCTGCTGAATTCCCCAACTGGGCAGATTTGCTTAGGCGTGATGTACCTATCTTTGATCTTGATTATGATGTAATCCTTGCTGTCATGTATGCATTGACTGTTAGTGCTGAGGGTGACTGTTACTTGTGTGTGCCGCCTGACCCCGGTATAGACCCAGGTATAGCGCCTGCAGCCCTAGGTGCTAGTGAGTCTGCTCTCCCTGGTACTGCGTCCGCTCAGGCCTTGCACACCTTTACACTTGACTCCGGTGCTTCCGCTGTTTCTTTCGTGATAGCACCACAGTCACTCCCCTTCGTCGTCCTGTCCCTGCCTCACTGGCTGACCCCTCTGGGGGCCCAGTGCTTGCACGGTCCACCACTGTGCTTCCGTGTCCGGCGGTCCCGTCTGGTGAGCTGTCAGGTCTCCACCTCCCCTTGTTCTCTACGAACCTGGTGAGCAACGCCGTCGTTCAGGATCACTGGGTTGACACCTTTACTCCTGGAGGACAGCGTGTGGCGATCTGCACGTGCTCCCGGACAGGCCGCCACCTGGCCACGTTCACACGTGCGCCTGGGTCCAGTCTGTACACCCTCACCACTGCTGTGAGAGTACGACGGCTTATGCTGGCTTTGCTAGCTTGCCTAGACTTTATTATGCTATATCTAGCTTGGGTCTATTTTATCATGCATAGATATGCTTGATTTCCTAGGTTAGGTGCATTCCTATACTTTATTATAGTTATAGCACCGAACCAAGTTACGTGTACCGAACTCAAGCCTATTTGGTTTCCACCGAATTGCTTTCTACTTAGTTCGGGAAGGTTCTGTTCGGGACGCTTCGCGACCCTCAGAACATTCGCGTTACACCTGGGTAACTGGCCTTGTGTCGAGACTATATATAGCCTCGTGTTGTACCCAGGTGAATCATTCAATTACAATTCTCTTTTCTGAGCTAGATCCTAGATCCTCACACTTGGTAATCAGAGCCTGTTTACACGCGAAGTCTTTCGACCGCTAAAACCTAGCTTTTAAACCGCGGGGGCGACGACGGAAAGCGCCGATTACGGGTACGTAAACCATTTCCGCGCTATTTTTTGACGTCCCCCTCGAACCGGTTTTTCGAACAGTCCTCAGGTCCAGTGGCGAAAAAGTTGGAATTTCGACCGTCGGATCGATTCGAATCTCAACGGCCCTGAAAATTTCGCCCAAAAAACTTGGAATTTGAAGCGTCGGATCGAATTTCTTCTCAACGGCCGAGATCGGACGCGTATTTCGACTAAGGGAGAATTATGCGACTTACAGAATCAGCACTCGTCATTTCTACATTCGATTCGACTCACAGTAAGATGACCAGCGCCTAAAATTCAATTATTTCCGACGCAAATCTTCCTGTAAATCGCCAAATGGAGGAAAATGGTGATAATTCCGTACGAAAAATTACGGAGTTACACACTGGCTTGGACCAGACGCGAGCGGCACTCCAGCGAATAGAGGAGCTTCTCGCGAACCAGTCGGTAGCCACCATGGCAGCAGCGAACGCAGCGGCGAATGCAGCAGCGACGTCAGCAGCAGCAGCGGCGATACCGACACTTCACCCAGCAGCAGCGGCAGCGGCTACAGTGAATCTTGAGGCAACACGTCAGAGGCTACCGGAAACATTCAATCCGAATGCGAAAGACACCGACGTCCGTCGATTCATTGCGACCCTCGAAATTTACTTCGAGGCCGTTGGCTGTACGACCCCGACACACGATGCAATGCGGATTCGGCTCGCAGCAACACTGTTACGAGGCCCGGCGCTCGAGTGGATTTACAACAGCAATAAGATCCGAGGCGAGGGGTCATGGACGCAGTTTCGGGAAGCTTTAATTCAACGTTTCGAACCAATCAACTCCAGTTACATGGCGCGGCAGCAGATTCATCGGCATAAACAGTTCGGCAGTGTAACACAGTACATGCAGCAGATGGAAAGCCTCTTCAACCGAATTTTCGACCTGACCGAAGGGGAAAAAATCCAAGCGTATACTGAGGGGCTAAAAATGGAAGTCCGCCGACAGGTGATTGCCGCGAACTACAACAACTACCGCGACATGGTGTGTGCAGCAGAGCGATTCGATGCGCTGATGCGATGTGAACCCGAGACACGACGCCACGTGCCGAACCGATCATTTGGCACGAAGCGATCGGCACCACCCACGACCGCCGACCCGATGGATATCGACAAGATCGACGCGAAGCAGCGGCCGACAAAATATGAGAAGTGCGAATTTTGCGGCGCAGCAGGACATCGATTCTTGTCGTGTTGGAAAATGAAGAAGGCACGAGCGGAGCTGCAGGGCAACAACAGTGCGACATCCACGATGGCGAAAAAAGGAGGACATGATGGCGTGAATTTAAAACGCCATGACCGGCCGGCAACAGGGGAAATCGCCGAGACAAATGGTGGCTCCGCGAAACAAGACTCTGCACCGACCGGGAAACTCCAGCTGAACACCCCCGAGAGTAAGAATATTCCCTCTCGAGGTTTTCAAGCCTTTAAAAAATTCAGGGGAGATTTCAAGGCCAAGAAAAAGCCTTCAGACATTATTCAGGTACCTGAGAAGTTGGGCATACCACTCCGGAGCGTTGAAATGGGTCGTGGGTTCCAAGGAGTTAATATTCTCTCCCCGCAGCATAGTGTTAAGGCTCCCCATTGCCCACAGGAGAAGCCTACACAGCTGCAAAGGCTTAAGGGAAGCTTCCAGGCCAAGACGAAGCTGAACCGGCCTCGGATAAATCCTTCTAACCCAACTCAGTTGAAAACTGATACGGCGTCAGCACCTTCGAGCGCAGGACCGAGGGATGATCTATTTGACGTACCCTATGATCCTATAAGCAAGACCATCTACGGTTACTCGGAGCAGCAACAACCACTACTACTCGAGGTGATCTGCAACGGGCCACGCCTCCAGGCACTGGTGGACAGCGGTGCGTCTCACTCGGTGTGCGACCGCGAGACGTTGGAGAAAATTGGGGAATGTTCCGAGGAGACCACGTTCACGGCAACAATGGTGGACGGTACGAAACTTCCCATCCACGGCGAAGCATCACTGCAGCTGCACATAGGGGCGCTGAGGTGGAAGCCGACATTGCCGATCACAAACATCAAGGGATCAGATTTCATCTTGGGGCGAGATTTCTTGAAGCGGTTCAACCCCGAGATCGACTGGGTCAACAGGAAGGCGTGCATCTACAACAACGGGAAGCGGATAGCACTGCGAAGCTGGACGGATACAGGGAGCGTTCCTGAAACGACACTGGCACGGTTCGAACGGACGGTGAACGAGAGTAACACGGGCTACCTAGCACTGGTTATGGCAGCAGCAGAGGAGGAGAAGCCGAGTTCGAAGCTACCTGCAGCAGTGAAGGAGGTCTTGGAGCAGTACAAGGATATAATGCCCGACGACCTACCTGCAAGCGTACCCCCTGCACGCACCCACGAGCACGAGATCGTGGAGGAACCAGGTGCAAAACCCATCTCACGCGCACCATACCGACTGAGTCCGACCGAGCTGACAGACATGAAGAAACAGATAGAGTATCTACTGGACAGACAACTGATCCGCCCATCCACCTCTCCCTACGGTGCATCACTTCTCTTCACTCCAAAACCAGACGGCAGTTTACGGATGTGCATCGACTACCGCGCACTGAACAAACAGACAGTTAAAAACAAATACCCCATACCGCGCATAGACGACCTACTGGACCAACTGCGTGGTGCAACAGTCTTTTCGAAGCTGGACCTACGGTCGGGTTACTGGCAGATCAAGATGGCGGACAACTCGGTCCACAAGACGGCGTTCCGTACCAGATACGGCTCCTACGAATACTTGGTGATGCCGTTCGGACTCTGCAACGCACCAACAACGTTCCAGGCGGAGATGAATCACATCTACGTTTGCATCTTACCTGGACGACATTCTCATCTACTCCAAGAACATGAAGGAGCACGTGGAGCATCTATGGAAGGTGTTCGAGATCCTGCGGAAAAACCAGTTCTACGTGAAGCTGTCGAGAAGCGACTTCGCCCTGAAGAAGGTGCAGTTTCTCGGGCACATGGTGAGTGCCGAGGGCGTACACGTGGACCCGCGGAAGATCGAAGCCGTCAAGAAGTGGAAAGTACCGGAGAACGCGAAGGAGTTACAGCAGTTCCTAGGCTTCGCCAACTACTACAACAGGTTCGTGCCGCAGTATGCTAAGATAGCAGCGCCACTGACCGACCTACTGAAAAAGGATACGCCCTACAAATGGGATACTCCTCATCAGCAAGCCATGGAGCAGCTACAGATAGCACTGACTACAGCGCCAGTACTCATCCTACCGGATCCAGACAAGGACTACGTGGTGGAAGCAGACGCTAGTGACCAAGCAGTCGGAGCAGTACTGATGCAGGATCACGGACGCGGTTTGCAGCCCATCGCCTACCTTAGTAAGAAGCTACACGGAGCAGAACTGAACTACCCCATCCATGACAAGGAAGCCTTAGCGATAGTTATAGCCTTCAAGGCGTGGAGGTGTTACCTAGAGGGAGCCAAGACTATAGTCTATACTGACCACTGCAGTCTCAAATACCTGAAGTCGCAGCCGACGCTCTCACGACGACAGTTGCGGTGGGTGGACTTCTTGGAAACTCACTTCCACTACGACATCGTCTACAAGCCCGGGCTACACAACAAGGCAGACGCATTGAGCCGCCCCGGTCATGTAGCAGACATCCAGCTCGACGGGATGAACCCTCTGCTCAAGGGTCTATTCCAACATGGGTACTCCGTGGACGCAGAGATCGCTACAGCACAGACCAAGAAGCTGTTACAGTGGGAGAAAGACTT